ACTGTTGGTACGTTATTGAGGTTTATTTTTATTTGTAATAAAAAAGCAACTACGAATGTTATTACACAACAAATAAACTTATTATAAGAAAATGTTTGTGTAATTATTTTTTAAGATTAACTTTCTTGAAGTCCCTAATATCTCACCAAAAAATTTTCGTAATTACTTGTTGCATTGATAAAATTCATAAACTCTGAGAGCTCCGAAAAATATTTCAAGTTTTGTATTAGAAGAGCATAAGCTTGATGGTAAATCTATTGACCTCGTGCTAATTTATAATACACCGAATACCCATCTCTATATCTCATCGTTTACACTCAAAACACTAGTTTTCTACACAATTTTCACATATACTGATAAGCTACTAATTTTAAACCTATTAAATCGTAGATGTCGCTGCGTCAATATAAAAACTAAAACTATCTTTCCTCGAATATTTTATCTATCTTTTTTAATGTTCTACTTTTAATTAAAAAGAAAATAAAAAAGCTAATTAAAATCTTAAGGAAGGTGTTTCTGGCGGTTATTTTCTGAAATCTCCAGTTGTATAATTTTGACGTAAAGTTGACATAACCTTACCTACGTATTGATTTAGTTCTGACGTTTATTTACGTCCATTTCTATCAAAAATAAGTTGCATATGGGGGCTATATAATGATAAAGTGAATTGGAGTTGCTATTTTTGCTACAAGTTGAGATTGTTTAAAAGTTACTTCAAGTCGATTACAAAACTTTTCATAAAGTATGACACTGATAGAAGGTATAGGAGATGAAGTAACCCAATTTTTTATTATTTTATTCGCCTTGGTTGTTTGTTATATTGCTTGGTGGACAACAAGTACAAGGGAACAACAACAAATCCGGATTTTTGTACTTAATGGTAGACAAAGAAATTACAGTCGGCTATCAAGCCATGTTCAAACTGCATCAATAATGGAAGGGTCTCATCTAGAAGAACTAAATCATCTAGAAGAAATAAGCGAAAATGATTCAACCCCAACAGAAACGGAGACGGTGGTAGATACTTTGGGCAATGTGCAGAGTAATCCTGAAACATCTAGTACAACTGTCTCAAGTTCAGAGAACAGTCAAAGTAGTCAAAGTGAAGATGAACCCTCTACAATTTTAAGAATGATGGATTTATGTGTTAATACGATAAGGCATAGGAGAACAGGAACAGATAACCAGTCTAGGGAAATAGCAGAAGCAACTGGAAATACATCTGACACAACTATAGAAAGTTCTAATGAACAACCTAAAGAATGTAATTCACAAGCTGATGAAACTAAAGAAAAGGATACCACAATACAAGATCATACATGTGAAACTATTGTTGATGGTGATGATACCAATGATAATTCAAAAATAATTATAAAGTTGAAGTTTCTTAATGATGAACTAAAACCTGTTGATGGAAAGTTGCAAGAACATTTAGGAGCCTTTAAAAGACGTCATTTTGAAGCAGAATTATCTTCTAATAAAGTAGTGCGCCTTATTTTCAACGGACAAGTCTTGCAACAAGATGATGTTACTCTTGCTAGCTGTGGATTATTCGATAACTGTGTTGTACATTGTTTGATACATCAAAAAAAACCTTCACCATTAGAAACAGGGGCAAACAATCAAGAGAATAGACCAGGTGTTCGAAACACAATTCCAAGATCTCATAATAGTGACAGTAACAATCCTGTAAGAGATTGGGATCTGGGAAATTTGTTATTTTTTCTAATATCATTTATTCTTGTTACGGTGTGGTATTTCAGATATGAATATGCTCACTTATATACTGTTACTGCCACAGTGGCACTAGTTGTAGTCACAGGCATATTCGCTGTGGTCATGTTTGGATTATACTTCCCTGATAGGGAACAGACAATGCCCCAACCTATACACTAAATTGCTTTTAAATGGCAAACATTTTGATTATGTTGTGAATAAATATTATTACTCATCTCTTACTATGTACTATATTTTCTTCTGTTAATATGTATTAAACTTTTATGTTGCAGGAATATTGTATTTTTATCAATAACATTGTTAAAAAAGTATGCATTAGTCACATTCTTTTTTTTTTTCAATGACGTTAAAAAGTTAGCAGATTTTGCTTTATTAAAAATTAAATATTTTACAAGTTCTTATTTAATTACATACAAAATTTCATACAACATTCAAAAATTTAGTAGATCAAAAGAATTTTCAGTTGTCGATTTTGTCTGATAATCGTTTAATTTAATTTAAATAAGTCGATTGTTGTTTGTTTATTTCCGCTATTACTTATTTGCTGCTATTTATTTAGGATGCAATCGTTGGCGAATGGGTTTTATTTTCATTATTTTCTTAACCAGCATTAAATACAATGAACAAAAATAGTGTTCTTAAACGCCAGATGATATTGATATATTTGGATATCAAAAACAATTTTTAAAACCAGGCCTTTTAATTAAATTATCAGCTTACCGTACTTTTGTTGTTTCCTTAACTTTATGTAGACACTACGTGGTGACATCCACTTTTGGTGAACCGCCTCTCATTATCATTTTAATCTCCTCGGCATCTAATGTTTCGTATTTCAGAAGAGCTTCAGCTAAGGCTTTGTGTTCCTTAGAATGAGTTTTTAATATTGTTTTGGCTCTATCATAACTTTCTGTTAAAATTCTCCTAATTTCACTGTCAACCTAGAATAAAAGCATTCCTCAATAAAGAAATAAAAACAAACGAAAAAAAATTTTTTTGAAAAATTGGTTAAAAATTTTAATATTCTTACCATTTCGTTAGTAGAAGGACCCAACGGTTCATTGATAAAGGGTTTACTACTTTCGGGGAAAGTGCGTAGGCCGACTTTTTCTGACATTCCCCAGTCTTTAACCATATGTGTGGCAATTTGCGTTGCTTGTTTTAGGTCAGAACTGGCTCCTAAAAACACATTCATAATATATTTTTTAAGAATAACAATCCAAATGTAAAAGAAATTTTTTTATTACTACTACAATTGCTTTAAATTACTATTTGAAAACCTCATTTGTATAAAAGTTATACTATTTAACATCATTGGGGTAATTGTAGAATGAGTTATAAGAGATTAATTTAAACTTATTTTCAATTGTTATACTGCACAATTTTCTATATTAATTTCATTAGGTAAAGGGAGATTTTACGGATTCTTACACATTCTTTATTGCAGGGTGGTCACAGATATTAGACTTACAAATTTTCCGATAATTACCAATTTAATCCGTAATTAGATAATAAAATCTTGACTAGTAAAACTTTTTATTTGAAATTTTTATAGTAATTTTTAATGAAAATATGATTTCAAAATTTCCCGATAATTCTACGAAAAAATTTCCAGTTTCATGGAACTCTCTTTTTCAATTTGCGACCATTCTGCAATTGTTCATAATAATTTTAATGCAACAATTCTTTCATTGCAAAATTTGAATTTTCAAAATCAGCTATTAAGAATTTCCACTCAAAAGGTAAGTAATATATTAAACCTACCAGAAGTAATTTTGTCGTTTCCAAAAACTAGTTCCTCGGCAGCACGACCTCCCATCATAGTGTCCATCATAGCTATCAGCTGCGATTTGGTCACATGATAGCGTTCTTTTTCAGGAATGTAAGCGGTATGCCCTAAACTGGGACCGCGAGGTATTATCGTCACCTTGTGCAGTGGATGACTGTCTTTCGTGTAGTATGCGACGATTGCATGTCCGCCCTCATGGTAGGCTGTGATCGTGTTTGCCTCTTCGTCGGGGATGCGTGAACGACGCTCTGGTCCCATCAACACTTTATCCCGTGCGGATTCCAAATATTTCATACTCACACTGTCTGCGCCATCGATAGCTGCTCTGTGTAATCAAAAAGAAAAGCACGAGTTTTATTATTCCTGAAACGTTAATCCACAGCTAATAAGTGTTTAAAGATAATTTAACTAAAGTAATTAGTATTCGATTGCAAATCGTAGCTTTTATAAGTAAAACAGAAAAGAAACGTTTATTGGGCCTCTACGATTATTTTAGAGTAAAACTTGAATTAGAAAGGTGAAGCCTAAACTTCTAAAGTAAAACACGACTCAGTTTTTCTTAAACAAAGAGTAATATCTTTACTGTACTTCAACCTAGTAGTTTATTATTTATTTATTTAAGAACCTTAATGCCGCTTGATTAACCATATTTTCCAGATCCGCTCCCGTAAATCCTGTTGTACCCCTGGCTAACATGTCAACGTCTATCTCTTTAGCCATAACTTTACCCAAGTATAAGCCTAAAATTTCCTTTCGTCCAACATAATCTGGAGTAGGAACAGTCACCTAAACAAAATCAAATTATGGATATTTATCTTAATGGTGTGGATATAATTTTACTTCTAAATCGAATCTGCCGGGTCGTAATAACGCTTGATCCAAATCATCTCTTCGATTAGTAGCTCCTAGCACAATGACTCCTTCATTTTGATGAAAACCGTCCATTTCGCTCAATAACTGATTGATTGTTTGATTGGCGTAAGGATGCAAAACGCTATTTGTACGTTTAGCTCCCACAGAGTCGATTTCGTCAATAAAGATGACACATGGAGCACGCTCCTTTGCAGCTTCTGTAAAATAAAAGTTACTTAAAAAAACTTTTTTAATGATTTAAATAACTTACTAAATAAATCACGAACTCTTCTTGCTCCTTGTCCAACAAGTATTTCATCAAATTCTGGACCAGCAGCGTTAAAAAATGGAACACCTGCTTCCCCTGCGACTGCCCTTGCCAAAAGGGTTTTACCAGTTCCTAAATTATGGATAAAATAAGAAAATATTTTTTTTAGTTTACTTACAGGAATAATATATTAATCTAAATAAACAAAAAGTCACTCATTCACTGATTAAAGTGCTATGCACCACCAACCAAATTTGACGGCCTCAGATAGTAATTTCTGTTTGGAACAACTTACATAAAAACCAAGAAGTATGCAAAATTAATACTCTTCGCAACTTCAATGTCAATATTATTTTTTACAATTAAATTTCTTTTAGCCTTTTAAAGAAGTGAATAAATAATAACATTAAACTACTGTTTTTAATGTATGAGTCTTGTTCTGGCTGTATTACTATGACTAAATATCTACACACTTGAAATAAATATATTCTGATGAAGAATACCTGGGGGACCAACTAAGAGAACACCCTTTGGCAATTTCCCACCTAAATTGGCAAACTTTTCTGGATTTTTCAGAAATTCTACAATTTCTTTTAATTCTTGTTTAGCTTCATCTGCTCCCTTAACATCATCAAATGTAACATGTATATCTTCAGGATCTACTTCTATTTGACTTCCTAACTGAATTCTAAAGGAAAAACAAAATTACAAGATTGAAAAGTTTATATATTATTTAATAGCTTACTTAAACATTGAACCATTTGCATTAGCCATTAAACTAATAACAATAGCCAAGAAAATAACAATTGTAAGCACTTGCTGTACAACTTTTAAATATTTTGATGTCTTTCCTGTTTTGGATGAAGAAGGATTACCAGTTCCTAGTAAATAGCCTTCAGCAAAGGCAACCTTCAATTTCTGTTTGTCTGATTCTGGTAAAGTTTGATCATCAATTGCTAGAATATTTTTAAAGTTTTCTTGATTACTTTCTAACTTGGTTTTCAAATTCATTTTAGAAGTTTCTGATGTAGTTTTGAGAGCATTTTTTATGCGAAGAATTAGTGAAGGATTTCGTTCTTCTTCAGCTTTAACATTTCTTTCTGTTTTAAAACCACGCACTTGCACAGCAAAAACTGGACTCCTTTCATGTCTAAATTGGTGTGTTAGTTTCTTGTACAAGTTAGTTGTTGTAAATACAATAGTTTTCGACTTGTCAGTCTGATTTGGTAATTCTTTGTTAAGTTCTTTCTCTGAAAAACCATGTTTATTTTCAAAAAAGCTGTTACTTGAAATGTATGACGTTCTGTGTAGAAAATGATTTTCATAAAGGTCCTTAGGTTTAACATGTTTTGCAATTGAAGGATGAAGATTTTTTGCACACTCTACAAAACTGTTTAAGCAGAGAATATCTTCTTTAGTTTTAGATTCATTTCGAATCTGTTTCCAATTTTTTTTAAGTAAATAAGCGCTATGACGGGGAATAAGAATTGCAGGAAATTGCGAAAGTGTACATAAGGCCTAAAAGAATATTATAAATAAATAAATATTATTAATATAACCTTAAAATATATGGTATATTACCTGATTTTGATTTTGGAGGGTGAACATTTTATATCACATCAGTGGTGCATGAAATGAAAATTAAACTAAAATTTACAAATTGTTTAACTGTAAACTTCTTTTGACAAATGAAATTGATTCTGTCTTAATATGTAAGCCGCATCTACCGGATTGTCACTATCACTATAAATGCACTATACGTTTTTCCATTCTTCGCTATGTTAATCCTTCGTTCAATGTTGACTAATTTCAGTCAAGTTTTAATGTTCAGAAAATTCTAGAAAAGGAACGGATTATTAAAAAGATGTACTCGTATACTTAAAACATCATAATTTTATTTACTATCGACAAATCCACAAGTAGTAATTAATGCACATATGTGCTACAGCTGTTATTTAAATAACAAAAATTATGTCGTTTAAATTATTATAGTGTATCATTTAAAGTCACTTGGCAATAGCGTATTGCTTTTGTAACAGCACCATCTGGTGGTAATCTACATAAATTATACAATTTTATAGAAGAAATTGGTAATAATTACAGATTATTTCTTTAATATTTACCAATAATGATAATTACATAAGAAATCCCATCATATTACAATTGTCGAGAAGCGCTCGCTTGCGGTGGAAAGCAGCGAAAAGTAAACAAAAAAAATGATAGTAACAGTCAATGCAAGTGACAGTGACAGTTGAGTTTTGCAATTACACTTTGGTGAAATATATTCCTAGAAAGTAGTTAAAAACTGCTGATAATTATGTAGCAAATAGTATTTTAAGTTTATATCAAATACCTACTTGCTTTATTTTATGTTGCATTTTTGTAACTACCTACCATGACTACTGAAGAAAAATTTAACGCTGCAGTAAATGTGATAAGGAGTTTACCGAAAAATGGTACGTAAATTATTCATGATACTTATAATTCTTTGACGCCATGTAAAATTGCAATCTGCTTTATTAATTGCTTATTGTTATTGTACAATTATTAATATGCAAGGTGCACTGTTAGCAATCGATGAATTACATAAATGACCAAGGTCATGTTTAATTATTTTGTTTATCATTAAAAAAAGAATTTATTCACATTTCTGATATTATCACATGCGCATGATAACGTCTTGGTTCCATTTTTCTTTTAGTTTTCTTAATCTTCTCAATGTGAAAATAATTGCTAAATAACTTTCCAGAAAAAGAAATTAACACTTTGAACTTAGATATCAAGAACGTTATGTAAATAATGCAAACTAATCATTGTTTTTAAATGAATTCAATTTTGTATTTTATTCAAGAAAATTTTTAATACGTAGGTAGAATTGCTTTAAAACTCATAATTATTTAGGGTAGATATGATAAGTAGTAATGCATACTTTTAGCAATCTGATGTTATTAAGGAAAAGCAATCAACTATTAACTAGTTATACTAATTCATTTTGTTTGATAATAATTCGAAAAGGAAAGATATAGCTATAGTGTGGTCATTTAAATTTAATTTGGTAAATGATAATAACGATATGCAACAGCACAATAATAAGTTACTGTATTATTTGCAACATAACTTAGGTTTAGTGTCGGCACTTACATATAAAATTTTTTATGGTGTGATTAATTAGGATTGATATGAAATTTAAAGAATTACACAATGCTAATTAGAAGAACGAAAGTGTAAGACTCATAATTTTTAAGCTGTCTTGCTTTGAATTTCATCGGTTAACGATTTTATTTGGGATATACAGTACCCTTTCTATAATTTAAAAGCTATTTTGTTGAGGTGGTAATAGACTTAATAAAACCTATTTATATACTCTTATACTACTATGTATGCACGTTTACAACTTACGCAACGATATTTTACCATTACTTTCGACATCAATCTTTTGCTTTCTTAACACGTTTTTTTTGTAGCACATATAGTAGAAAATAGTTCTTATTTATCGTTCATGTACATTGAAGTAGAAAGGACGCTCTTTTGAAGTTTCTTCTTAGAACAATATACAGGGCAGACCACTTTTTTAAATTATACCAACATGTTATTGTATCAGAATCGACCAGTTGTGAAACTATCTTTATGTAATAGGGCATTTTGAATTATATTTTATTTTCATTGTTTTGCTAGCAATAAAACAACTAACGAACTTATTTATGAATATTTGAAACTCATCTGGGTTGGCCTGTACATGAATGTATACCAGTAATATAATGTTAATTAGTTATTCAGTACAATATAAAAAAATTAAGTCTTGTTTTCGTTGTTTCATAAAATGATATTTACGAAATATTTTCACTTCATTCTATTATTTCATCGTGACGTACAATTATGTGAACTGAAAAAAATGTTGCTGTTTTCCTCTGCAGAATTTCCCAATATAATTAAGAATAATAGTTTGTCGAAAATTGAAGATATATTAGAATTTAACTGTAAAATGTAAAAATGTTATAGTATTGCTACAAGATGTTTGCTTCTAATAACTACAATTTAATATTTTTTTGGCAAAACTTAGAAAATAGGGACTAAAAGTGATTCAATTTTTAGGTTCATACCAACCTAGTAATCAGATGCTATTAAGTTTTTATAAGTACTATAAACAAGCAACTGAAGGACCATGTTTGGGCAGTCGGCCACCCTTTTGGGATGTTGTAGGAAGAGCCAAGTACGATGCATGGAAATCTTTAGGACATATGCCTAAAGAGGAAGCCATGAAGCATTATGTGGACGAATTGCACAGGTATATATTTTAATTTTTGTTTTAGTTGTATTATAAAAGGATTATCTGATATTTAAAATTAGTATACTATTGCAAAATTTTTTTTTTTCGCTTTCCTTTTGAGATGTTTTTTCTTCCAGCATTGTGGAAACCATGAGTTACACAGATAAAGTAGCCAATTTTTTAGAAGCACCCACAACCGAATTGGATTCACTAAGTATGACAGATTTAGAATTAGTTGCAGGGGATGTAATAGAAAGGGTACGGTCCCAACCAAACTCGCCTTTAGGTATGTATTAACAAAACCGATACTAATTAACATTTGTACAGGCATTTAGAAAAAATGATAACTCATCATCTAAGGTCTTCGGCCCCAAGACTGGACACGTACCTTCATAACTTTTTATCTTGAGTCAATCTTATTTTTCAACCTGATTTATCTGACTCAAATAATTACTGATATTTTAAAATTCAAACACCCTTATTTAACTGTATTATGTAAAATTTTTTATTCAAATTCTAGTATTTATGCAATTTATATAATTTTATTTCTAGCGTCCAGGGAAACCTCACCTCAAAGGGTACGCTCAAGTTTAGGAACAAGTTCCGCTACCTCGTCTTCTGTATCACCTGAAGATTCCGAACATAGCGATGAAGAATATATAGACTCCGTTGAGGTATATAAAAGAAATTTAGTCAAATATAATAATCAGGTCTATAACATCATACTTCTGTAAAAAGGTCAAAATTCAAAACAATAAAGACGTGCGGCTTTATTTTTATGTTCTTGTAATTCGTGTGTTGGCAAGGGTTGTTTATTTTAATTTCTTGTCTTTGGTGGGGCGCATATTTTTATTTGTTTTAAGATCTCTTTCTCTTAATTTGTAACATCAATAAATCAGAACCAAGAGAGTAGGTATATAGTAAGGCTTTTTATTAATTTAGGATCAATGTCAATAAGTCGCCTTTAGGTGGGAGGCTTTATCAACCAACCCACCAGGAGGCGAAACATTGGTGTTGGCTCTAAATTAATAAAAGGCCTTGGCTCTGATTTCTTTATATTATGAAATTAGGGGAAGAAATGGATCTTGAAAATATTTTTTTGTGTTTCAAGGTTCCCGACCCTAAACTGTCGAGACAGCTACAAAATGGAGTGATACCGTCAGGTGAACAAATTTCTACGATGAATGGCTTTGTAAAAGAACACAAATCGCGGGCGAAAACCAGACCCCAGCCCCAGCAATCCGTACATATACCTACAAGTCAATCCTTCACTGTCGACATTAATGATGAGATAAGAGCAACAATGAACAGTTTAAAAGCTGCTGTTGAAAGGTTGACCAACAAAGTGAATTCTTTGGAGCATATGAACATCGTGCCCAGAAAGAGAAGTTGGCTCTTTGATGATCTCAAGCCTCAACTGATAATTTTCCTTCTTACGTGGCCTTTTGTCGCATCTTTTGTAATGAATCGGTTCTATTTTAATCGGAATAGGAGTTAGACACTATGACCTGTACACTTGGTAGGTGACATTGAGTGGTGTAAATAGCATATAAGTTGTACGATAGAGGTCAACATAGTTTCTAAAATTTCAAATTCTTCACTTAGAAGTGGTTTTCCAAAAATATATGGTTTTGTGCTTTCTCGAAATATAATACAGAGTTACAAATTAATTACTTTTGTGCATTTAATTAAAAAATTAAGGTTTGCTTTGGATAATAAAATATTGTTAATTCAGTCTATTTTGATTGCTGTATGTTGGAGCACTTAATAATAAATTTCATACAGTCACAATGACAAAATATATAATTGCCAAAAACTTTGATAATAAGTTATATTGAAAAAATTAAAAATAATATTAATTAGTGGAGAATTAGTAATAAAATGCTGTCTAGCAATGGTGCAAAGAATACTATATTCTTAGGGAAATTGGGAAAGAGGCTGTTGTTTTAAAGCTTTATCACATACAAATATAGTGAAATAAAATTAAATCTTAAGAAATAAATAAAATGTACACTTAAACCTTTGGTATAGTTGCCAAATGTAGTTGAACCAGTTAATTCTTATGACGTGTATATTTACATAAAAAATGTGGGTTAAAATAAACCGGTGATAGTCGTTTTTGTTATTTTTCTAAGTCTTTTATAGGGTTTCTATGTAATGTATGTATTGTATATATTATAATCAAAGGTTTTTTAAGCAAAAGAAAAACAATTTTTATAAATGTGGATAAATAAAGTATTTGTTAATTTCAATTGTTTTAATTTATATTATCCCAAGAACAATTTTGCACGATTGATAAAATTGTGTAACGCTTAAAGAAAAATACAAAGAAAACGTGAAAAAATATGGCAATTTCAGCTAAATGGAAGGAATAATTTTACGAATAGCTGTTGGAAGAATGGTTAAAATTTATAAAAGTATTAATAGTTTTGAAACGGTCGATAAGGTGACAATTTTGTATGAATATACTATAAAAAAGAACCCTAAACTTTATTCACTGGAAAATTAAAATTTAAAAATAATAGCAGTTGAAACGCCGCATGTTCCTTATAAATAACCCATATGCGGCCTATTCAAGAAAGAAAATACTACTATATGTTCCCAATACCCCAGTGGACTTGTCTCATTCAGTTACTTTTAAAACAACCCTGTACTTTTGTGATGTGGTGTGCGTCACGATTAACTTTTTCGAAGTTTTTAAATTTTGTGTTCATATAAGCACATCTGCACCTGCAACTTATCAAAATATATTCTTATGCTGCGCGGTTTGGTAATGCACGCTTGACCAGTCGTTCTGCACTCTTTTAGACCTTTAATGTGATAAGGTACATGCACTTTCGACATATACAAATACATACTACGTCCAAGTTGCTATTAAGTATACAAAACCTCCAATGAAATTGTTTTTTTAAACAAACTGTCGAATTTTATAAAGTACAAAATCTTACTCTTTACACAATGTGATAAAAATTACGTAAGTAACTAAATTAATGATTATTGATCGAAAAATGGGAAATTGCTTATGTGCAAATGTTTATTGAGGAAGAAAACTGTACATATTCAATATAATAGGTATTCTATTTTCGTTTCAAGTAATACCTAGAGTATTTGATAATGTATGTATGAAAAAAGCTAATAAATAATACAATTATTACAATGCACTTTTTGTTTACTTGTCTCCTAAAAATGTTCCTTAAAAATTAAACTCTACGACAGATTTTTTGTTGCAGTGACATACATTATTATTATCTACATGTAACATTCAATTGAAATAAATTAAAAAAGGAAAATCGAATGACGACTGGATAGATTCAAGAGGACGGGGATGGGTGATACGAACGCGAGAGAACTTACGATTGGATTGAAAATTGTCATGGCATATAATGATACAATTAAAAATAACGACCAATGCAACTAAGAATGCAATTCACAAATAAACGCACGAAAAAAACAAAATAAATATGTACAATTGTGACTAGATAAAGAGATGACCATTTTCGGTATCTCCTTTATACATTTATTCGGGCTTTTTCTTGGCTAAGATATTTCCTACATAACTAATAAGTAGTAGTAATTGGTATGGCAAATTATTTAAATAGCTTTTTATCATTTCAATTACTCTGTGTCATTTATTTAAATTTAATACTTTGTTTTAAAATACTTAGTTAATACTGATTAAAATTTATTATTTTTTTTTTCTGTTATTATAGCACATATTTAACAGCGTGAATTGCATAGTTATAAGGTTACATTGGCTAACGAATCACAAATTATCGTTCTCTCGCTAAAAAAATCGGTGGTTTAGGCCATTAACTCATTAATTTTTTGAGGGGGTGAGTCAGCTGCCTTGAACTGGTTAAGTGTCTGTGTTTATCCTACTCGTATGAACACCTCTTCGAGAGACAATTGTACAGTTTAAAAATCTACAGCGTGATCCTCAACAGGTAATAACTTTTTTCTCCCTACGATACAAATAACTTAGTAACGATAATATTCGAAACAAAAAGACAATACTGACAACACTGAATCGCTTTAAAAAAAAGTACTCGGTATGTATGCTTGTTACTGTATTGGACTGTATTTACTAGGATACATATATAAAAGAACTGTTCTTATGATAACTGGCCAAAAAACCCGTTAGATTTATTTAGATACATTTAGAAATGAAATAGTTTTTCGCGGTAATATGCGGACGAAGTCGGAGCCAAGTTTAAAACTTGTGTTGCAGTGATAAGTACTATTTTCAATAAAAAAAAAAGTAATACATTGTACTAAGGCCACAATTACGTAAACAATTAATAATAAATAAATTCGAATGTAAAATAAGTACGTTAAGAAAAGTGTATAAGTCGAGTATTCCATCAGAGTTAGTGTAAAATAATAGTAAGTGTGTATAAATAAATTAATCAGTTGTTTATCTTTTCTTGTTCTTGTTAGATACAACCACAAAACGACGGAGTAACTTCGTAAGTACATAAAATTAATCTACAGGGGTGTGTTTTGTGTGATGTTTGCTATGAGCAAGGAATGAAAAGGAGACAGTCAGGAACGTAATAAAAAAAATATGAAGTTATTGGCATTAATAAAAAAAAAATAGCTCCTAAAATTATTCAATTAATACTAATCTGTACAAAAAAAAACATACATCGGCGTTGTCTCGTCGTGGCTTCGATTCAAGTTATCACGTATTGTGTAATAAAAATAAAGCTCTATTTGTAAAATTACACCGATATTGCAAAAAAAAAAGACATATTCGAATTCACCTTACAATCGTAAAAAAATATATCACAGTATACTTTAGAACCCATCCCTCTACATCCTTCCTCGGTCTTTTTTTATTGGAATTTCGACAATACGCAATGGTTGGAATGAAACCATAAGTGTAAGATAGGAAAAAAATAAATAAAACAGTTAAAAGCTTTCATATGCTTAAAAACCTTATACTATTAAAAAATAAAACTTCCCAGAAGCGATCTGTTTAAAAAAATGTTTGGAAAACCAGACCCAGAAATCTTTTTCGTTAAGAACATAAGATTTGTAGGAACATCTCAAATTAGTTTGCAATGAATCAAACCTTATAAAAAAAGACATAAAGAAAAAAAGGTCAACTTTTTTTAAATAAAATTAATGTTTTCGTCCAACCATTATCTTTTATATGTATGTATGTACCACATATTCCGCTATTTCTACAAATACAACAACAAGTACGATAACTGAATCGAAGTCACAACGTGTACGACTATTAAATGGATGCCTTATCCAGAGCATCCGTTCTGGAGATGGCCGAGCCGAAGAGAACGGTGCGGGCGCACTTGAAACGAGGGGACTTCCCGTGGGATGCTCAGAAAACGGTGACGAGGACGACACTGCGTGCGGATGACAATCTAACTACTGAACAGTGTGGAATTTAGTTATATCTTTTTTCTTACTAAACAACTTACATTGTTGCCCGTTGACCGACTGAAACTTACGCCTAATAACTCTATCATCTTATATACCATCGAAGAAAAGAGAGCAAGACAGAGAGTGAGAGAGAGAGATAGAGAGAAAGGAATTACCACGTATCAGTCTTTACAATTAGAAACAGTTATTACACGTTATCATCTAATATTTATAATAATCGTTATCATTAGGTATCGTTATTAATAATTATTACGGCGTTAACATCCTTTTCGTCCCCTTCAACAAACGACGGTGAGTGACCCATGTCCGAAATATATACTTAATAACATTTACATCACTGGACAAAACGCGTCCCAATTCACGCACTTCATCGGAAAATGACAACGGCAAGGAAGAGGAGTCCGACTCCTGGTGCATTCACGGCAACGACGACGCCGTTCGAGCTGCCGCCGAGCGTGAGCTCCTCGCTCTTGACCACCTCGTTCGGATGCTTGTTGTACGTCTTGGACTTTTTCGTCGACGTGGCCGAGGATGAGGATAACGTGGACGTGGACAACGACGACGAGGAGACGGTGGTAGGCGACGGCGTGGTACGAGACGGCGTCGACGAAGACCATGACGACCTGGACGACGTGGTCGATGAAGAGACGGACGACGGGGGTACGTTCTCTTCCGGCGGTGGTGCCCACACTTTGAACACGATCTTCATGTTGTGTGTGGTGCAGCGACCGCCGATCCGCCGATGCAGATCGTCGCTTGTTGACGTCGATATGAAGTAGTAGTCGTGACCGGGCAGGAACTCCAAGCCCCCCGGTTGGGGGGTAAACGGACGAAACGTGATCGTGAAGTACATCAGCTTGTACGGCTTGTCGCAGACGGCTATGATGCGCGGATTGGGGTTCGTGATCCGGCACGTTTCGTACTCGTCCTTCGACACGTTGTAGATGATATACTTTTCCATGTCTTCTTCGCGGGTGCCGGGCGAATACACGGGGCAGATGAGATTCACCTGATCATATTCGAACTTTATATTGTTTCTGTTCACATCTATTACGTTGTCCGTATTGTCTATGCGAAATATAGGATTCGACGAGTTCCAGTGTATCGTGTAGAACTTTGCGCCCGTTGGCATGGTGGCTGTCGCGCCGCCTATCGTGCCCCCAACGAGCAGGCACAAGACGACGCTCGCGAACGTCGACAGGAACGCTTTCCGCCCTCGGATCAACACCATTGCACCTTTTGCTTCCTTTTATTATTTTTTTTTGTTTTGCACGTATCGCGTGCTTTTGTTTTAATGAGCGTACGCACCACTAGACAAATGAAAACCCCATACCCATCATCACATGGTTAGGAGCGGGTGTTGACACCTAAAAGTGAAAAGAAAAACAAAACACCCGTTTTATTTTATTTTTTTACTTATATATAACATGAGAAATTATTTCAAATTATACGATTATAAGCTGTTTTTAGACTTTTTGAAATGCCTGACTGTTTTTGTAAGGAAATGTACAAAATCAGTTAATATTAGTACTAGGTACGCTTTGCAGAAGAAGTTATAAAGGAAAAATTAAATAATAATAAACTGAAAGAAAAGTAACTTGTGGTTACAAAGGTTCCAATGCTGATTTTAATTTGTACCTATATGCTTTTCATGCTTATAAGTTTTGAATATTTTCTAGCTATATGAGATAGGTACTTTAAAAACAACTTAAAGTTTTTAACTATATATATGAAAAACTTTGACATTTAATAGTGGTTAATATCAAATATTAATGTGAAAATTCATTTTCAATTTTTTACCCACTATAAACAGAGCATTGGTTCGTAATGCCAAAAGTGTGACAACAGCAACAAATTTTCCCTCGTTAACCTGAGGTTTTTACAGTGGGTAAAAAACTGAAAATGAATTTTCACATTAATATTTAAAGTTTTTATTAAATGCTATTCAAAAATTAATTTTCGATGTAGATAACAGTACGATCTAGTTATGGAAAACTGATTAATAATAAAAGAAACAGGTAATAACTGATAGATAAAGATGACATTTTTTTACCTGTTTTACACACTTTAAAAAATATCACTTCACTGCCAGTATCTACAACAGCTGATTTCCATTTGATTCTTTATTTAATACATTAGTTTGATTGATACTAATCGCGTATGTAATTTAATCGTTTTACTTTCAGGTTATTTTATTTCATAATAAAGCAAATATATTTATGATACATATGGGGTTTAGTTATGATAAATAATTAATATTATTTTATTATTTACACAAAAGAGCTTTATACAAGGTGATATGTTTCTAAAGCGACATTGAATCGAAAGAAAAATACCTATGCACATTAGGAACATAATTTCTCATATTTATAAATGGACAAGCATTAGCAGCTTTCCTTGAATGCTGAAGTAGCATTGCTGTTAAAATTATTATTACAGAACGACTTTTTTACATTTTGTTTACAAAAACTATATCCATTTTAAAAACATTCTTTTAAGTAACTGGCATTTCATACAATAAAAGATGTAATAGGCACCTACTTAATATAATTTAACTTGGATCATTATTGAAATCTTAATATGAATGCTAAATTTAAATAAAAACAGATACGCAAATCGACAAAAATTGATTATCAAAAATTATTAACATAAATAAAATTTTTGAGTATTTCGACTATTATTTGAATTTCGGTAGTAGAACTAAATATCAAAAGACACGTAATTTCTTTAGGAAAGTTAATTTGCTCCAAATATTATCAGAATATCAATTCAATTGAATAAATATTTTAAATTTATTAAAACAGAACTGTTAAAGGAGGACTATGTTCAATTACATTATTGACATCTTAACTGGTCTTAAAATTGCAGTAATTAAAAATATTTTTAACTGGCACTCAGTGCTTATGCATGTTTTTTGAATAAAGTACATCGCAACGTAAATCAATTTTTCGTAATTTTTCATTAATATGCATTCACATTTCGTTAATTTTTCAACAAAGACGAGTCGTAAAAAGATAATAGACATGTTGACTGGTAGCTTACCTATTGTTAATGCAGATGCTCTGAAAATGTAAATTATGCAAGATTCCTCGTTCTATTTCTCACTTTACACATTTCACCTGTTTCCCCATCGCATTGTTAACGAAACTATATACCTTCCAGTCTGATTTTACTCAAACTTGGCAAAAAAATGTTTAAAAACATATCACAATTTTACATTCTTCTCACTACATTCCATTGCCATTTTGTTACTTTCCTTGCTCGGTTGATAAATCAGAATTCTTGAGGAAATGAAAATTATTACGCTCGGACATCTATGCAAATTGACACGAACTAAACAGCAGTACAAGCAACTTGAATTTTATTGTGTTTATTCAAAACATTCAAAATAATCCTTTATAGTTTCAAAATATCTAATAGATAGAAAAAATTGTTTTCAATTAAAGTACAAGGTTGTTTATGGAATTATTTTGCTTCAACTTCTTGTGAAAGTTTACGCAAGATACCAATAGGTGGCGCGAGCATGTCGACGAGACGAAATAAACGAATACAAAATATATACAGGGCGATTCTAAACAACACACAAATGAGAAATTTTAGGAGTATAAAAATATTATTCCGATTTAAATTTTAAGCAAAGAAAATATTAGAATAAAAAAAAAATAAAATGTATGATCTATGTAGGTACAATGTTTTCTTTGTTGTGTACAAGAGATATTAAGGTAAAGGTCTAGATGATGGCCACCACCCCTGAAGGGGGTGGGGTTGGGGGGATCGAAAGAGGAGGTCTCCCCCACCACTGTACCATAAAAAGTTCGTGGCGGTCCCATCCCCTTAAAAAGTGATAGGGGTTCAAAGTTAATAAATATACTAATTTTTATACATTTCTAGGCATGTAAATATTTATATAGTCATTCTTAAACAATATCTAAAGGTAAAACTAATGAAAAATACATAAAAATATTGAGAAAGTTATTTAAACATTATTTAAATATCTTTATCAATAGGGTAGGTTAGGTTAGGTTATCGGGTTTTGTTCAAGTGACCACCCTCTTTTCATCCCCAACCTCCACCCACTTGAAAATATTTTTTTTATTGAATTTTATTTGAATTATAATGTATGAAAATTGTCAAAATAATCAACTTTCAACCCCCATAACTTTTTATCTCTCTCCCTCTTTCGATTCCCTCTACCCTCTTTCGATCACCCCTACCCCCACCCCATAACTTTTTATGGGGGTGAGACCGCCACGAACTTTTTATGGTACAGTGGTCGGGGACACCTTCTCTTTCGATCCCACCCATCCTCACCTGGGATGGCGGCCATCATCTAGACAATTTTCAAAATTTAGTCAACTAGCCTATTTCACCCTTCCAAACTTTTGGTCTTATAGGACAGGGTCCTTGTCAATTCGGAGTATAATTTTAGGTAATATTAACGTAAAACGAATAATAAGCTAAAATAAAAACGTTTTCGTGACTTTATTTAAATAACTGTAAGGCTTTTGTAATAGTAAAGAAAATGAGCCATCAAAAATTGATTGTATAAAAAGATCAGTAAGTCCGGTCATGCCTTAATTGTTTGTTTTAAAATTTTTCGAGGTCATCGCTGATAGTTTTATTGGTTGGCTGCTTACCATCAATTCGAAAAAGTTAATCGTGTCAGCTTGAATTAAGCGGAATGCAATTTTTAAATGTTAAGGACGTACATTAAATTTAGACAACTTTATTGTCCTCAACTATTGTCATGTGACAGGACGTGATGCTTGAATAAGGCGCAAATTTATAATATTCTTATGAATTGAAATGATGTGACTCATTGTCAGTCTAATTTATCGTTCATTCATTCATAATAATAATTATTGATGTGTCTATTAAAATCATTTTACTAGAAAATTATGGGTTATAACCTACCCTAACTCCTAAACCTCCTAATAAAATAATTAAGTTTATTCCTTTAAGGCCCCATATCAGTCGTTTCTAGACAAATAGGATTTTTTAAATCTTATTAAATGGATTACTCTTGATGTATACAAGTTAGAAGAGTGGTCGAAGTCTCAAATCAAAGCTCTTATTATTATCTACACAAGTACGAAGCGCTATTTTTGAATGTACTTCCAGTTTTTGTTTTATTTTAAAACAATAAACTTTGAAACTTATTAAATAAATTCCAGTCACATAGTAGTGAGTTTGAACCTGCGCTTCGGGCAAATTATAGTTTAGGGTGTTCTTAACAAAAGTACGAAGCCCGATTTAAACAAACATAAATATTTTGATTTTTTAATGGAACTCATTGACCCAGAAATATTGAGATAGGCAACCAATCTTACTCAGATTAGGGTGATTTATTAAGCAGCCACTACCTTTTACTTTGTTATATTAGTCCAGTCAAATGAGAGAAATGGCTGAAGAGTATTTTATAATGGAGAAAATGATGGGTCGTTTTATCGGAAATTTCTTGAGGAACACGAACATGTAAATGAAAATTATTTGCCCGGCATAGGGGGGAGAAAATCCTCAAAAACAGTTGTAAATTCGATTATCTCGCGAAATATGAAAAATATGGAAAAAAGTTTCAATAAAAGTTTTATCACAATGCCATTTTGCAAAAAAAAGTATTGACGACTTTTTTCATAAAAGGCCTCAAAATTCGCGGAAATTTTTAAAAAATTCAAAATAATTATTAAAAATTTAAAATTGATAATTTAATCGATTTGTAACTTATCTTAATCGGTTAAACCATTTTTTCAGAAAAAAGAAATTCGGTAGCAGTAATCTAATCTATGTCTACCTCTACTCCTTTTTACTATTAGGTTTTATTTTAAAGTCCGGCATCTATAAACTTCAAAATCGTCTGCAGTGTCTGTCCTCCCTCCCCTATCATATAAGGGGGAAGTTGATGGCTTTCAGTTAATATTATACAGAATATTTTCGGTTTACTTTCCTTAGAAAAAATGTACAAAAAAATAACTCGAAGGTGTTCAATATACTCCTGATGGCCGCTTTATTTTGAAAAACCAACGAAAAGATAATACCCTACGAGAATATACCTATTATAGAAAAAAATTAATAAATTTTTGCATCAACAGAACAAATCAACCAGTTATGTATCGCATATTCGATATGTGTGACTGAAATGTATAATAAAATAGTATAACAATAATTATAATAAATTTATTAAGAATGCGTGGTCAAACAAGATAGGCATTGATTAGTAACCTTGTGTCAACTATAATTTTACTACGAAAACGTACGATTGTCTTGGCAGTATTAATTGGGCATTGCAGATATGTGACTCTAGTACAAACAAAAGTAACGAAGATATTTTGAAACACACAAATACAGAAATTATAGAGAAATGCGCCTTTCAACCTGCCCCGAATTCTTTTTGATAACACAGTTTGACTACGGCCCTGTATCTAGTAGACGCAAAATTATTTTCATTTTGTCTGTTAACTATTACTACAAATCTGTTAAAATGTTGTCCCAGCGCCTTCACCAAAATAATCACAGTATTAATGTGAAAATGAATTTAACTTTTATCCACTCTAAATTACCTTTAATATATCAGGCAAAGTTGTTGCTGTTGTCAGAACTTCGCCGGAACCTTTGGCTTTACGTACCAATGCCCTGCCCACTAAGCTACTAGAGGTGACAACAGCAACATCTACGAAATGTATTTACTAGGTTACAGATTCGTCCCATTAATGCATATTTCATATGATATTAATACAAGAAAATCAAATGGAGTTGCGAGTTCCGTTCTGGTAATATTTTAAAAAGTTAAAATTTCTTTGGCTGCATTAATAGGAAAGAAAATCGGTAGAGTAAAGATATAATCATGCTTTATGCTTAACTTTAAATTAAGGAGGAGAATTACAGGAAAAAAATACAGGGTAGTCCATTAAGTACGCCTTGTTCTCTGGCGGTTTTGCCGTTGAAATTGGAAGAACATACTTCTATTACTAGAAAATTTGACGTTTGTAGTACCTTACAAAAATTTTAGTATCTCGGCAATTATACTCGATAAAAAGAAGTGGCTATCGCTCTTGAAAAGAGCATGAAACTCAATTGGCTTTCGATCTAAAATTTTCTTTCAAGGCATATTAAATCATTACACTAGTAATGTTCAAAGTTTAAATGTTTCAAACATTAATAACTCATTTTTTTCAAATGGGAAGCTATGTTCATTTTGACATCGTCGGATGTAAAATTAAATATTGGGGTCTACGCTTGACGGTTTCCAAAATAATTGCGATTTGTTAATTATTCTGTTATGTGCAGAGAAAACGGATAGATCATAGGCGGCATGGGTCCATAACCGAAAACAAATTCTGTCATGTTTATTCGAATTATTGATAAAATTACTTAAATTTCAATTTAATTTTCAAAATTTTCCAGTAATACTAAATAACTCCAAAAAGATACCGCACAGGCAAAAACTATGCTTAACAAACAGGATATTAAAATCGATGCTTAATTCAAAATGTAATAATATACAGGGTATTCCATTTAAAATAAGAGAGCTGATGTATACTTCCGGTATATCCGGAAGTCCGCCATCTCTGCAATTAATTTCTACAGGTGGATGATTTGACCAGAGACGTGTTTTATTGGAAACATTTTCTTCCAATTTCAACGGTAAGACCGCTAGAGCGCAAGACGTGCTTAATAGACTACCCTGTATAATATACAATATACAGATATTAAAAATGTACCATCATCACATGCACCACATTGACAAATGGGTATATATTCGTCCAACGATGTTACTACCTTTTTTGCGCGTTAATATTCTGTCTATAATAAATAATGAAGTAACTTTAAGAAGGGCAGACCGCATCAAAACTGTATGAAAGTTCGTTTGTAGTTTGGCATTGTACCTGGCGCATTGAGGACCATTATATTTAGCAGTGACTGACAATGGTGCAGGGTACAATACATCAATTGTACACGAGCCTCAGCCCCACGACCTCCACACTTGAAATTTCAAGGAAACAAACCGTAAACAGATTCGCATGCCATAGATTGCGTTCCTGATGCTTATTGCTCAGTCAGTCAGTCAGTCTAAATTTACCCCAAGCCTGTGTTAACAGGGCACGATCATACGACATGTATCGTTCAAGGGGAGAATCAGAAATGACGGTATTATAAATACAATACGAGCCCCTACTTTGCCCTACCGGATTATACATCTAGGCCACTAGTGCAATCCGAAACTTTTCCGATCGAACAAGTCGTGACCTTATCATCGTCATTCATCTTTTTCGTGACACGAACTTGGTTTTGCTTTGATGCTTTTGTAAATTTTTTCGAATTCGCAGTGGTATTTGCGAGAGGTCTATTGCGTTTGTGACCTTGGACAATTTCCACAATTAGTGACGAACTTATTTTAATTAATTTCCATTACGAAACTTTGTTCTTTGTTATCATTTTCGAATCGATCGAATACTAATTGATCTGTCAAGATGGTGTTCAACGTTATGCTCCAGCTATGCAAGATTACGAGGGCGAGCAAACTCTTCCAAAGGAACTTCTATTTGCCCTTGCTGAAGCCGTTATCCCCCAAGGATGCTCTCCGAAGACACATAATTACCGGCAAGAATGTCATGGGTCAGCGAATAGAACACTACATCCCTGTCTTAGAGGAATATCTGAGCAGACAGGCTAGAAGAAGAAACCGGGTCAAGGGGAGACCTATTATCAAGAAGAGGATCAGGATGAAGGAAGATCGCAAGTATTTCACCCCCTTTTTCGATGACATGATGGAAAATCACGCGCTCCTGCAGAATCTACTGGCGAGGAAGTCGAAAGGGAGAGGTCAATGTTATTCGTACTATGTTCCAGATAAAGACGTTTCTATCGTTTTCAACCATCAGTGGGAACGAGCCATCAGGGATAGAGATATTATAGACGTGATGGTAGCCCAAAGGAGCGACAAAATAATCGTAAGGTTAAAATCTGGAATAATTGTTACTCTTCCGTTAACAGCGTACGAAGGCAGAAGTCCGATGTACAGAGGCGAAGGATGGACGACGGCGGACGTGGAAGAATTTCATCATCACGGTAAGGACACCTTTATAATGGCAAAATTATTCGAGGCAAAAGAGGCAGGAATAGAAGAATGGGAACTAGAAATGATGAGAATTGCTAACAAGAGAAAGAAGAAAGTCAAAGGAGAAGACACGATGGACTGGAAGGCGATGATGCAAGATTGCGTGGAAAATATGGATTGGGATAAATTCGAGGAAGACACCAAACAAATCGTGGAAGAAATCGACGAACCCGTTGACGACGAGCCGATACCCATGGTGGTGGACGAGTTTGAAAAAACGAAAATGGTAAACGAAAAGCTGAAAGCCGGAGGAGAGGAAATTCTGAAAAAATTACCAATCATGCGAGAAATCCCGGAAGTCATAAAAATAATCCACGAAGGTGAACTGACGGAGTTGGCCCAGGTGTCGGGCATGAACGTGACGTTGCCCTCGTCCGGCAAAGAATGCTTCATTGCCGGTCAAATGGTAAAGTCAGATGAAGGTGAAACGTTTGTACCCGGTCAGACGATAGAAAAAGAAGGAGGTGGCACCGAATACACCCCTGGATTTACGGTATTTATGGACGACGAGCCAACTCTCCTGCCCGGCCTGGTAATGGGAGATGATCCAAATAAACCGATGTTCTTGCCAGGCGAATCGGCAATCACAGAGGAAGGCCAGTTGCAGTTCGAAGCAACAGAAGACGACATTAAGAAGGAGCCGTCGGTTGAGTCAGAAGACGAAGAAGGGTCCGAGGAAGAGGAGGACGTACCTCCGCCACCTCCACCTAAACCGAAAAAGGAATTAGTGTACGAAAGACCTAAACGTCTGTATCCTCCGCAGGAATCCCAGATGCCGAAGAAGAAGGAAAAAGTTCGTAAGAAGCCCCAGTTAGAAGTCAAGTTCGAAATACCGGAAGAAGAACTCAAAAAGCCCGTCCGTAACCGTTTCAACCCGGACGAGCCCGTGCTGTTCGACTTGACTTCGCCCACCTTCGAGAAGGACTGTTTGCTGCAAGAAAAGGAACGAGTCGAGAAAATAACCGAGAAGACGTCGAAAGAAGAGTACGCCATCGATAAACGCAAGCGTGAAATAAAGCAGAAGGCCAAGGAGCTCGTCAACAAGTTCCCGCCGGTGAAATATCAGCCGCTGGAACCGGTCGAAAAAAGTGCCAAGCTGAAAGAGATAGAAAAGCAGATAAAGAAGGGTAAATTTTTTGATGTCGATTATAAAAAGTACTTGACGAAGAACAATCCTCCCGATCAAGAAAAGATAAATTGGTTGGAACCGTACAACTATCGATACACATTCGATTCGGTAGGGCTCGGTATTCGGCACCTCATTTGGAAATCGGTCCGTTAATCGGGCACCCATCCAACGCGCCAACAATTCAAAACGCGTCATTCGAACTTCACCCGCAAGTACGTATCATTGTTGTATCTGTGTGTCCGTTAGAGTCCGATCAAATTAAATTGTTACCGTTCCTTTAGCTTTAGATCGTTTATTATTTCGGTCCCCGTAGTGTAGAGTAGGCGTTCTACAATTGTTTCGATACCCCCCACGTTAGACAAACAAATAGTATCACTTTTTTAAATTTATAACAAGATAATAATTAGTCATCGACCGCGGGATTTTTCAACCTTAACATTGAGATCGATCATTATTAACAACAAGTCGACATGCCGGTCAACGTGAAGATTTCCCTCTGCAAAATCACCGCTTCGAGCAAACTGTTCCAGAGGAACTACTATCTTCCTCTGTTGAAACCCCTCTCGCCCAAGGATGCCCTCCGACGGAAAATTATTACCGGACAAAATGTGTTGGGAAATCGCATAGAACATTACATCCCCGTACTCGAGTCCCACGAAGAACGAATAAGGGACAGATCTCGGCGAATAAAAGGCCAGCCGGTGATAAAGAAGAGAGTACGAATGAGCGACAAATTCAAATACGTGACGCCCTTCCTGGACGACGACATGGAAAATCACTCCATGCTAAAGAACATGATGGCAAGAAAAGGCAAAGGGAAAGGCCAAATGTACGTTTACGAAGTACTGGACAAAGGGTGCGTGCTGGTAATCCCTTTTCAAATGGAGAGAGCTATCAGGGATAGAGACATAACGGATGTAATTATGGCCCTCAGGAGCGATAAGATTGTGTGCAAATTGAAAAATGGATACAGAGTGACCGTTCCAGTGGCAAGTTACGAAGGCAACGCCAAACTTTACAGAGGCTCGGGATGGACCAAGGAGACCGTCGAAGTCGATCACCATCACGGCCGAGACACGTTTCAGCTCGCTCAAATATTCGAAGCTAAAGAACAAGGAGTCGAAGAATGGGAACTCGAAATGATGCGATTGGCCAATAAACGCAAGAAGAAAACTAAAGGCGAAGATAAATCCGATTGGAAGAGCATGCTTCAGGGCTGCGTGGAAGACATGGACTGGGATAAATTCGAGGAAGAAACCAGACAGATTGTGGACGAAAAGGACGAAATCGTGGAAGAGGAGAACATTCCCATGGAGGTCGACGATATGGAAAAAACCAGACATGTCAACGAGAAACTCAAAGCCGCCGGCGAAGAAGTCATCCTGCAGTTGCCGCTGATGAAAGAAGTTCCCGAAGTGATCAAGAACCTCGAAAGTGGTGAAATGTGCGAAGTAGCGAACGTGTCGGGGGTTCGTTTACAGCTGGCCGATGGCAAGCAGTGTTTCGTGGCTGGACAGAACGTAACCCATGAAGAAGAAGAAGTATTCGTACCGGGTCAGACAATAACAAAAGAAGACGGCACATCCGAATACACGCCCGGCGTCACAGTTAATGTTGATAACGAACCCACCTTAATACCTGGTTTGGTAATGGGCGAAGAAACAACACCACCCATGTTCCTTCCGGGAGAATCCACGATAACAGAAGAAGGTCAGTTACAATTCGAAGCAACGGAAGAAGACAGAGGGATTGTCAGGAGACGTCTTCCATCTTCTTCCGATTCTTCATCCGAATCGTCTCCGGAAAGGGAGGTAAAGCCAAAACCGAAAAAGGCGGACGAACCGATTGTTATTAAACGAAGAAATTTCGAAGAAAATACTCAACCGCTCATTAAAGAACGCGTTAAGAAAAAAGCACCACCGCCCGTTGTCGCCCGACCACCATCCCCTGCGCGGATGGACCACCGCGTTCAAAGACAATCCCTGGGGGAGGTATTAAAGGTAGCCGAAGAACAGCGCATGAAGAAAGAGGAACTCGAAGCCAAAAGAAAAGAAGACGAACGAAAAAAACTGAAAGCGAAAGAAATGGAACGACAATTGCAAGAGGAGAAGAATATCGACAAACTGCGGCTTCAGATCAGACTGAAAATGAAGAACATGAAATTCGAAGCTCCACCGCCCTATAAACCGTTTGAGCCGGTCAAAAAGAGTCAAAAACTGGAAGAGTACGAGGAGAGTATCCACAAGGGAACGTTTCTCGAAGACGAGCAGACCAAGAAGATCCTGGAGGCGGCAAGGAACGCCACGAAAANCGCAACAGCGAAGAAATAGCCCTGTTAGTAAAAGAAACGGAAGGATTCGCCAGGATACTTAATCTTGACGAGATAGCTGACACACTTTCGAATACGTCAAATGGAACCGTTCCAATCAAGGAATCCGCCTACGTGAACGCATTTAAAAGACTTCTTATCATACGCAAACTCGCCGAAAACGATTACGGACTTCGGGCAGCCCTACGCGAGATACACAGGAACCCCTCGTTCGGAAAAAGTAACCCCCGAGTGATCCAACTCATAAAAGAAAGCGCAAGTCTGACGTACAACAGAATTCCATTGAGAAGTTCGAAAGAAATATCGTCCAGACTGCTTGAGGACTCTAATCGACTTGCCCTGGAGGATTTCTTGATTCAGAGGGGCGTCCTGTACAAACCTGTAGGATAACAGCCGCCAGTAAAATTTTCTCTCGGAATTTTTATTTGCCTTTACTGAAACCTGTCACCCCGAAAGACGCGCTGAGAACATTTAAGATCACCGGCAAATGGCTGCTAGGAGCAAAAAGGCAACACTATATTCCTGTTTTATTAAAAAGTGATAGAAAACGGTCAGAAACCGCTAAAGATTATGGCAAAAAGAAACACGTAAGAGTAAAAAATTACACTTACTTAGAGCCAGCCCTGGATCCTGAAAATAACGAAAATCACAAAGTTCTGTGTGCCGTATTGAACTCTGACGAAGGGCCAGAACAATATGTTTATACTGTAGAAGACAAAAAAGTAAACGTCATTTTATCCGCGCCCTTCGAAATGGCTCTTCGAAGGGGCGACATTGTCGACGTGCTGATATCTCAACGTGTCGACAGGGTTCTATTTAAACTCAAAGACGAAAAAGTTCCTATCGAAGTGAAGGCCTACGAAGGGAATGAAGGGACGCTATTGAAGGGTGAAGCTGCCACGACCGAGGAGGAGGAAAAAAATCACCATCACGGTAAATATACTATGAGTCTGGCCCAGTACTTTGAAGATAAAGAAAGACAGGAGGAAGAATGGGAAAAAGAACTGAAGAAACTAATGGAAAGAAGAAATAAGCAACGTGGAGAAGGTACCAAAGAATGGGATGACATGATTAAAGCTGGTAAAGCGAATTTGGATTGGAAACAGTTCGAAAAAGAAGCCAAGAAGGTAATAGAATTCATTAACGAACCAGTTGTCGAACAATACATTCCGATGGAAGTCGACGACATTGACAAAACGAAAGACGCAGAAACTTTAATCAGCAAGAACGAGGATATCATGAACAAACTTCCTACGATGTCCGAAATTCCAGATTTGGTGAATAACCTACATAACGCCTCCGTACAAGAATACGAAGTGGACGATCCACCTAATCCGGAAAAGCGCACCCTTACAGGTGTAAAAGTAACATTAACGTCCGGCAAGGAATGCTTCATCACCGGTCAAATGGTAAAAACAGACGACGGTGACGTTTTTGTGCCTGGACAAACGATACAAAATGAATTTGGCCTTGAATATGCCCCCGGTATTACCGTACTTATGGACAATAAACCAACGCTTATTAATGGTCTCATCGTCGGAGAGGAAGACACGAGGAACCCCATGTTTGTACCAACGGAAGCAACAATAACCGAAGAGGGAAATCTATCGTTTACTGTGACAAAAGAGGAACGGACAAAATACACACCAATTAAAGTACCTCAAGAGAAAAAAAAACGCAACAGGAAGAAGAAAATCGAAAAAGTGTGCCAGGAGGCTAAAGAAGAAGACAAGAAAATTGAAGTCGAAACTACGGAAGTTCCTCAGCAACCGCCAAAGAAACGCAAAAGAATTGTTAAGAAAAAGAAAACTGTTGCAGTTGCACCTAAAATTGAAATAGACCCTGGCGTCATTTACGAGGATAATTACTGTCCTGAATTATTTGATTACATTGAAATACCACCACCTGTAGAAGAAGAAGAAGAGACTGAACCGGAAGAAGACGGTCATTTGTCGCTTTTTAACGAATACGAAAAATATTCCGAACTCGAACGTCTTCTCATAAGGACCATGGACGATCAAATCGAGAAAATCATCTCCAGTCTAGAAATCAAAAAGTCTGAGTTACAAGCAAAACTACAAGAACTCCAAGAGCTCGCATCGATCAGGCAAAACAATCCCGTGTGTCTAGCCACGTCCGAAGATGCAGCTCAAATAGCAAGAATGATCACCGGCAATCCAGACAAGGTCGGCATCGTCCAGGACATTCTCCTCACAATGATGCACAAGCTTATCATATTTCCCGATAAAGCCAACATAAAGTTGAGTAACGTCGACAGTTCGAACATCGTGGACGGCTTTTTGGAAACGTTCGACGAACGGTATCGCCGGTGCAACGAGAAACTTAAAATAGCTCTGAAAACGGCAATGGTCGCGGCGAACAACGCTCTCAAATCGCGGCCGAAAGACGACGTGTCCGTGTTGAAAGCTATCGGCGCTGTACTAATAATATCACTCAAAGACAAAAATAACCTCGTCAGCGATCTGTGCGAATTTATGGGAACGGCCGTCGAACGGAACAAGGTGAACGATCTACTTCTAAAGGAACTGGCGCACAAAGTGCAGGAGAACAAGATCAAGATGTTGAAATCGGCAGTGAGCGAGTCAACGGAAAACGACGCTTACGTAATCGAAAAGATCGCCGAAGTCCTGCAGACCGAGGGCGATTCGTTATTAAAATCCGCTTTCAAGAAGATCGCCTTCAATAACAAACCGTTACTAAAGAAAATCGTAGAACTCATAAAACAAAAAATGAACCTGGTAAAAACGGAACAGTGGGCTTACGACGTGACCCGAGACGCTCTTCTAGTTGCGGTGCAAGAATTTTACGAAAAACAGCTACAACAAATCCTCACGAGCCGCAACAGCGAAGAAATAGCCCTGTTAGTAAAAGAAACGGAAGGATTCGCCAGGATACTTAATCTTGACGAGATAGCTGACACACTTTCGAATACGTCAAATGGAACCGTTCCAATCAAGGAATCCGCCTACGTGAACGCATTTAAAAGACTTCTTATCATACGCAAACTCGCCGAAAACGATTACGGACTTCGGGCAGCCCTACGCGAGATACACAGGAACCCCTCGTTCGGAAAAAGTAACCCCCGAGTGATCCAACTCATAAAAGAAAGCGCAAGTCTGACGTACAACAGAATTCCATTGAGAAGTTCGAAAGAAATATCGTCCAGACTGCTCGACGACTCTAATCGACTTGCCCTGGAGGATTTCTTGATTCAGAGGGGCGTCCTGTACAAACCTGTGCTCGTTTCTAAAAATGGGGCCCAGGTGGTTGTACCTAAACACGATACCAGAGAAGTGCAAGCTGGAAGGGTGCCCTACGTATTGGTCGATGAAGATGGCGTGGTAAATTTCAAACCAGCACACATGTTTTCGTCTTTTAAATTGGGCAAGAATGATGATATCAATGTCGACTTGATCCCCAGAAGAGGCTCGCTTTCGGAAAATCTGTTTCCGGAAAGACAGAAAGCTCGTCAGGATTTAAGGAAACAGATCCGCAGGATGTCGCAATTCAATCACCGGATGGTCGCTTGATTTGTGATAATTATTATTTTTAAAGACAATTATTTTTCGGACAGTTTTGTTATGAAAGTTTTACGCGAGAACTGTTTAATTTGTAGAGAATGTTATTCGTTATTTTTTAGCTTTCGTCGGTTGTTATTTGCGTCTATCGGTGAGTCACTTGAATGAATGTCTATTTTGAATGTTAAAATAGGTTTTGAAGTACGCTAATACCTAACGCGGTTAAAATAACAATCCAAATATAATACTTGCACGTGCTACCCTTAACTAATACTGTAATGTATCCATAACCTTATTAGTCTATAATGCATTTTGTTTGTCCACACAGTACTAAAATCTACATATTTTCTTCTAATGGGTTATTTTAAGGATGTTTGGGAGGTATGTCAAAATGCTACGAGACAAATAAATATTTGGAAGAACGTTCCTCGTTCAATTATAATACTCCTGTAAANTGTTATTTATTATTGTGCCGCGTTTTTTTCAAACTTTAGAAACGAATGTACTTTACAATAACTGTATTATCTAATGGGAAGTTAGTCGTATTAGCACCGACCAAAATGTGCTCAGACCAATTTTTATTTCTGTTGTTACTGGTTATCTTGTTTTTTTTTTAACAGTACCCGAATTTGTGTCTCTCGATAGAGATTTGTAAATATTCATTACAAAGGTATGAGGAACAGTTATTTTCTATGAGTAAATAATAGAAATGGCTCTGCTGCATTGAAACATACTTAGAACATGATTGTGAGTAAAATTATACGAATGCAAATTAAGACAAGCTAGTCAAATATGTGCGGCATTTGTACCAGATACTTATATACTGGTTATATTTTGTTAAAGAAAAATTCAACTTGAAAATTTTTGTCGATTGAAGAAACTTTGATAATTTAATCAGGCAATTAAAGTGAAGAAATTTAAGTTATGTTGAAATTTGGTTCAAACCGGTATGTAGTTTAATTGAAAGATTATTTCTCCTTTGTTAATAGCCACTAAAAAAACTGTTGTATGATTTGCCTTTGTTGTTTATAACAATGTCAATTGGAAGTATCATAGGATTTAATAGTCACAAGAAAATGAATGAAGAATGAAAACAGTGAAGGCTTTGCTAATTTCCAGAAGTAAAGGTGAAATGAAGAAGAAACATCTACTTATCGTTATAGCTTATTCGTTAAACGATGATGACTTAAATTCTTCCATTATACAATTCACACAATATTGATTGACAAGAGAATAAGTTACAATAAAAGAAGAAAATTAATTTTATATATCAAAATATCCACAAATGGAGTTATATAACTACGTGTGCGGCGCCGAGGAAAGGACTTGAATTTGCACCTTTTAAATTCTATTAAAAAGAACATTCTCTTAATATAATACAAATGAAATATTTAATTCTTTTACAGGTTCAAAAATACTAGTCGTAATGGTAAACAGTAAATTATTATAGGTCAATTAAGTAGCTATAACAATGTCGATGAAATTAAAGTTGGATCTTTTTAGGTTTCATTAATTTTTCCAGCCCTTAGTTGTGGTTTCATAAAAATACCTTTTTGTAAGCATTTAAAACTCTTAAAGGAAAAAAAAAGAAACGAATTATGACTAATTAACTTTTTGGGAAACAAAAATAAAAGATAGGATCCGTCCTACGTATTTAAACTGCTGAAACATTAAAGTTAAAATAGGAATTGACATGTTTATTGAAAAAATGAGTCACAAAAAGTTTTTTCTAACTATAATGTTCGACATTTTGCCAAACCGTTCAAGCAAGGAATGTTGTTTATACTTTTATTATTTAATGCCTAGTGGGCCCTGATTCAAAAGCTTCCTTTGATTTATTAATGAATTCCTGAATCGTTAGTCAGTTTCTACTTATGTGCTATCTATTGTCTCTGAAACGAAGTATCTCTCTGGTATTTTAATGGTACTCTTTTGTTTTAATGATAAGTAGTCGCAAAAGTCCAAATTTGGACGGTATATTAATCTATGGTGCATAACACTTGAAGCCATTCCAACCATAATTTTTCCCAACCTAAGCGCTTAGTGGGTAGCGCTTAACCCTTAACATTTTTACATAATAATACTAATAATGACTCACCCTTCTGTTGATCAAAAACTCTCTGTGATTCTACAGCGAATTATTAGCAGCTGATAGGTAATCATTCATCTGAAACAAAAAATAATTCGAATTGTAGTAATAATGGCATTAAAAAAATATATAAATGTTACTCGTTTCTGGCACACCCGTGACACATATAAAATTCGGATAAAAAATTAAAAATACAAAGATAATACCCCAAATAGTACTTAAACAAATTCCTCAGTAGAAACGTAACCAAATTAAATTTAGAGGTAATTATTTTTTAATTTCTAAAAAAGAAACAGAATATCTCTCTCTTCCAACAGTCTAAAACCGTTAAAACTACGCTTTGCTAGCAAAGCACTTAAAACAATTCAACCATCAGTTTTGAAAAACGTTCTTCCTTGATTCAAAGATAATTTTATTTAGGTTTAAGGACTGTGAAGGCTTTAAAAAACGTTTAGTTTTTGATTTAAGCACTTTTGATGAAAATATAGTTTTATTACGCGATTAAAATGTTATTGACTTGGTAACAATTCACAGAATTTCTGTAAATTATCTAAATTCTTGAGACACTCGTCGACCACTCCAAACTTCTCTGACTACACTGAACTTCCCCCTAACTAATTTAAGAAGAGAATTAAGAAATTAGAACAACATTATGTGTGGTTAAGTTGGATATAGATTATTTGAAGACGTTTTAAATTATTTTTTTATTTCAAACGAGAAAAACAATCTGTTCTAAAAGTCTAGAACCATTATACGAGGGCGGTTCAATAACTACCAGTGTTTGAAGACAGAGGACGTTCCTGAGGGAAATTGGTGTTGTCATCGTGTGCTGCCATCTATCAAACCACGTCAAAACGAATTTCAGACTGATTGATAGGTTAGTTTGGATTTGGCAGCCATTCGACTGAGACGTGTTTTGTTATTTTCGCTAAGATGGAAAAAGAGTAGTATCGTTCGGTAACTCGCTTTTTGTTTTTGGATGGGAAAAAATGCGAGGAGATGAAAACAAAGTTGGATATTGTTTATGGAGATATTTCGCCATCTACGACCACAGTTAGATATTACTTCAACGAATTCAAACGTGGGCAAAGATCCGTTTTTGATAGGAGCGACCAGGAAGAATGGCAAACGTTGTTACCGAGGAAATCATTTTACGGTTTTTTTAGGAAAAGGAAGAACGATCACTGGACAATACTACAGTGAGTTATTGGACCGCTTAGACAAAAAATTGAAGGAGACACGGACGCATTTGACGAAAAAGAAGGTGCGTTTTCAACACGATAACGCACCGGCACATTCAGCAGGAGTTGTTGCCGCCAAATGCATGAATTACGTTATGAATTTGCTGCCGCACACCCCGTACTCACTCGATTTGACTCCCTGCGACTTCATCTTGTTCCCTACCATGAAGAAATGACTAGCGAGAAAGAAATTTAGCTCAAACGAGGAAGCCATCTCCGAGACAGGGGGGGATTTTGGAGAGTTCGACAAATCTTATTTTTTTGGATGGGTAAAAAAAATGGCAGGGTCGTTGGGAGAAGTGTATCTTTCTAAAAGGGGACTATGTTGAAAAATAAAAAAACAAATTTTAAAAAAAAAGGTGTCTTCATGTCTAACACGGGTACTTATTGAACCGCCCTCGTAAGTGTGCTTTACCAGCAAAACACTTAAAATAATTCCAATCATCATCATTATTAAAAAACGTTCTTTCTTGATTCCAAAATAATTTTAACTAGGTTTAAGAACTGGAAAGACTTGTTTAGAAGGTATAATTAGTAAAATATAGTTTTATGACGGAATTAAAATATTATAGACTAGGTAACAGGTTACAGAATTTCTGTGAATTATCTAGACTAAATCTTGGAGACTTCCCTTGACCACTTCAAATTTTTCTGTCTAACCTGAACTTCCTGCTAAAAAATTTACGACGGGAATTAAGAAATTAAAAGAACATTTGGGTGTTGTCACAGTTTAAGTAAAATTATATCATAAGCTCTGGAAAGATGCCTAGTTCCAATGGTATATGGTAAACGGAAAGTTTTAACACAAAAGAACTTGTCATAAGGTTACGTGGTCGTACTGATTGCTAAGTTTGTCGTTTCGTTCTATAAAAAAATCGCTTACGATCACAATCTATTTCTGTAAATAGAATTGTGGTTCGGTTAGCGTGGTGGTATGCAAAAGACGACTGCATTAGACGGTGCATTTGGCCGCGGTGCATCTTCAGGAAGTATAAATAAACCGGGATTGGCATAGATAAAGGCAACTCAATATTCCGTTCGTATGAAACATATTATTGTATTATAAATCGTTCCGTTTTGTTGGTAAGTTGATTTTCTTTTTCGTCCAAGTTGATGATGACGATGACGGAAATACTGACTGCATTTTGAGGTTGTTTGCTAATTGTTCGTTCCAAATACCGATTTCGTTTCGAACGTGTGTAGTTTATACGTTTGTGTAATATCTGTCCCGCGTAGTGCATGCTGGTTGGTTATTTTTGTGTCCGCATGACATGACATGACATGAGCCACTGTCCGTCGTCCGTTTTACTGAAATGCACGGTCTAATTTTCCTAGATTATTTGGTGCAAAAGAAGTTTCCTTGCTACATTCTACTATTAATATCCAAATTCGTAATTAGGGTCATGAGTGACAAGCGACCAAAGCATAATCCGAATTCTGCGAGTACCTTGTGTGAAAGTGCTTCAGTGATTAAATTTCTAAAATTCGAAATTGGTAGATGGGAAGTGAATAAATTACGACAGAGGTTGTTGGCAATACCAAAATTACAACATTTCTTTGACTAACCTAAACTTAGGTTTATAATTTGGCCAAATAATAAATAACTAAGGGCTTCATAAAATTTTCAAAATGCGACGAAGTCGCCTTTAACATAAAGATGTTATTTCTATGTTCGCGAACGGTTAATTTAGAAATTTGAAAAAGGTTGTTAAAGGTGTATGTAGGCGGATGATGAGGATACCATGGATAGAGAGGGTTAGAGATGAAGAAGTATTAGAAAGAGTAAGACAACAGAGGACTCTATGGAAGTCAATAAGAAATAGGCGAGATAGGTTCTCGGGCATGAAGGTCTAGTCAGAGACATATTAGAGGCAGAAACAGGAGTTAGGAGGGGTAGAGGTAGACCTAGATTAGATTACTCTTCGCAAATAGTTAAGGATGTGGGCTGTTCTAGTTTTAGGGAAATGCGAAGTTTAGCTCAGGATAGGAAATAGTGGAGGTACGTGTCCAACCAGTCTTAGGACTGACGACCTTATGATGATGATGATGACGCGAACGGTTAATTTAGAAATTCAAAAACAATTGTTATAGGTGTATGCCTGCAGCGCGACGCTGTACGGGTGCGAAACATTGAAAGAAAATGCTAGAAATGTTCGAAATGTAGTGTTGCAAGCGGATAATGAAGAAAGAGAAGGTTAGAATTGAGTAGATATTAGAAAGAATAGGATGGCAAAAGTCACTATGGAAGTCAACAAGAAATAGACGAGATAGGTTGGTAGGATCTTTTCAGGTATGAAGGGTTGATGAGAGACATATTAGAAGCAGAGTTAAGAGGAGTAGAGGTAGACCTAGATTAGATTACTGTCCACAAATAGTTAAGGATACGTTTTAAGGAAATGCGAAGATTAGCTCAGGATAGAAAAAAGTGGAGGTACGTGTCTAACCAGTCTAAGGACTGACCTTATGATAATGATGATGATAGACTCAAATTTTGATTACTTTGCAATTCAGAGTAACTCATATAGATAAATATACTTCGGCAAATGAACATTTTTAAGGATAATGCATTTCGCCGTTGAGAATCCTCGAGTGAAATTACAAAAATGCAACTTATTAGAGAAAGCAATATTCATTTCTCAATTGCAATAAGAAGAACTATCATGACACTGTTACATTTGACAATGCTCAAAACACATTTGCACTTTTTATTTTGGCATTCTCTCTTACAATCACACCTTATAAACACTTACTTGGACCTTGTTCGCTTAGCAGAAAGCTGTCTCTCATTCAGCATGACCATGATAGAAAATTTTCCGTACTTATAAATTTGTTTGAGAGAATTGTAGAAACGATTTTTCCGTAAACATTAGACAAAAATGAAAATATTAGGTAGTATTCTGAAACGTATTTCTAGTTTACATTTTCTCCAAAATGCCATTGGCTATACCTAGTTTATAAAAATCATTTTCTTCAAGTATGATCATAGTCACAATATTTCTAGTACCGCGTGTCCTCTGTCTTCATTAGAAATTTTCATAACCTCATATACAAAAAACATTCTGTCGAATCATATTCATATATATGACAAATTTCGAAATAGAATATATTTTCGGCAATCGGTTTTGGCTTTGATTATATAGCGAATTGATTATTTTTTTGGTCAAAAGGAGAATTCGGCAAGTAGGTCTAACATATACCTACATAACAAGTTCAATAAATGCAATTTAAAAATTTTCAGGGATATTGCGCTTTGTTCAAAAGATTTTAAGAGTTCTATTAGTTTAAGATAGTTTTCAAACAAGTTAAGATTTTCATATAAATCTGGTTCCATACATTTAACAAAAAACATATGAAGAAACACGAAGTTTAACATTTAATTCTGGGAGCCAAGGGCTTCACAGATTTGGTTGCTAAATCAGAGAGAATGTCAGAATGTAAAGGGTGTTGTTCATAAAATACGTCACCCTTTTGGACCCGTCCATCCTCCTTCATAACACTTTCAGTGACCCATTTAAGAAATACAGTGTAAACTCTATATAACGACACTTAAGGGACTGAACATTTTTCGGCGTTATAAAGAGTGGTCGTTAAATGGCGAGAAATAAAAGATATTATTTTACTATTCTATAATAATATGCATTTACCAATATAGTACACATTTTGCACACGAACATTATTATTCATACATTGCGTATAGCCTGTTATCTTCGTCTGATGTTTTTGCTGCTCCAATATTTTAATTGTATTTTGTTACGTATCTTACTCATATCTTGAGATACTGCTGGATCAATTTGATTATATAAAAAGTATTTTTTTAATAGTTTCGCTGCATCAAGTGCTTGTTTGATGCTTGGTGGAGGGACAGGATCGTCTTCTTCAACAACGTACGCAGCTGCAGTTCTTATCTATTTCGGCAACTTAGAAAGTACTGCTCAATGATTTATAATGCCGCATTGTTGTCGTTAAATAGAATGAGCGTGACGCCATATAGAGTGTAATATTGTATAGAAAACAATGTAAACCAACCAAAGTCAAGCAATTTCGACGTTTTAAGAAGTTTGTCGTTAAATCGAGTGAAGTTATAAAGAGTTTACACTGTATTACGTTTAGTTAGGTAGTTCACCCACCTTAATAAAAGATTTCTTGTGATTAGGAATAAGAATGGGAATTAGTTTCTATTGTAATGAAAAGATTTAAGAACTGCAACGTTTCTACATTAAAATAAAATTGACCCCCCTCTCGCCTTGTTATATCTCGTCACTCCTAATAATAATACCCCTCTCTCCCCCTTATTTGCGAAAGCATTTTATGAACAACCCCCAAATAGGCTCGACTAACTAATAACTGAATTCTGTTGATATGGTAGATACGGATTTTTTTTAAACTTACGTTAAATACTTGCCTAATTCTAAATGTAAATTTAGAAAAAAACGACCTACAAAACTGACATCGTCTGTCAAGTAAAAACAAGACGTAAGGACCTGCACTGCGTACAAATCGTCCCAAGGCAAACCTTTAAGTGTCGCACTCATTAACGGTAATGCCATTACACGCGTCCTATATTTTGTCTGCCTTTTATTTTAGAACGATTCTTATTAAGAACTGTCACGAGTGGACAGGGCATCTTTTCTGCTGCTGTTCAACTATCGCAAACAAAATAAAAAACAAATTGTAAAGATACATTTCTCTGGCCGTAAATTTTGTTTCTTTTGACTTGTTTGTTTAAAAAAACAGAAGTTTTCGCGCGACATGCTACGTGCCAAAATCTGACAAGAAAAAATTATTGTAATTATTGTAATACTTTTTAAAATATTAGTTTCTATATCGTGTCGCTTTCATAAAAACAAGTCACTTCTATGCTCGCGAACGGTTAATTTAGAAATTCGAAAAAAGTTGTTGAAGGTGTGTTTGGAACACGGCGTTGTACGGGTGCGAAACATGGACAGTGGACGCGGCGGAAAAGAAAAGGTTAGAAGCCTTCGAAATGTGATGTTACAGGCGAATGATGAGGATAACGTGGGTAGAAAAGGTTAGAAATGAAGAGGTAATAGAAAGAATAGGAGAACAGAGGACTCTATGGAAGTCAATAAAAAATAGGCGAGTTAGGTTGGTAGGACACCTTCTCAGGCATGAAGGTCTAGTCAGCAACATATTAGAGGCAGAAACAGGAGTTAATAGGGGTAGATGTTGACCTAAATTAGATTACTGTTCGCAAATAGTTAAGGATGGGGGTTGTTCTAGTTTTAACGAAATGTGAAGATTAGTTGAGGATAGGAAAGAGTGGAGGTGCGTGTCCAACCAGTCTTAAGACTGACAACCTTTTGATGATGATGATGATAATATCATTTATCCAATAATTGACATTCAACAAATTTTAACTTCCAATTTTCTCAAAATATTTAAATAAAAATCTGTTTTCAAACACAAAACGTTTTGGTAGCAAAGATTACAAAAACTTCGATACCTTCTAATCGCCATCGTAGGGGTTGGTACATAATTTTTTTTTATCCAATATTGTTTGGACCGCGCTTATCCAGTTGGATAAAGTTCATATTTCCATGATAAGAAAAATGACATTTTCCAACTTTACATAAAACTGAAAGCATCGATTTTCAATATATCACCATGGGTCATCGATTGAACCCATTTCAAACCTTCCCCCAGACACAACTGCTCATGGCGTCTTACCCTTTCAACGCAATCGGAAGTTTACATACTAATCGATACTTTCACCCTCCATTTGTATACCGAAGCAAAAACAATAAAATATTATAAAAAAAGTACAACGTGTAATTATACAACACGCTACTGAAGTGAAACTTCTTCAAACACTTAAACATACCGGGATAGTGGTTAACGAATTGGTTTAATGGTATTATTTGTACACTATGCTTCGCACGGGTGCAATGCTCATAGTAAATATACTATAGAATGTCTTTATATACAACAATCACAGCTTTTTTGTCATTAGACAATACAAACCGGCCGGTATCGCCGCAACCGCTATGTCCCTGCATTTTAAGTCTGTAATACCTTCAAAAATATTCATTTAAATTACATGCTGTAAAGGGCCATATTGATCTATATTAAATGCACAATGTATTTAAAAGTACTTAATTGGATAAGGATTAATGCTGTATTGCTTAAAATCGCTACGTAAATAAGCCATTATTTCTCGTAAAAAGTAAAGGATAGAAAATGGTTATTGTGGGTTATCCCTAAGAGATAGACATATACCACCGCGGACTTTTTTGTAGACCTTTTTAATGTGTACAATATTGTAGTATATTATTTTGATCTATCTCGTACAGTTCAGCCAGCGTTTTCAATGTAAGCGCAAAAAAATGTGTTTATTTACGACAACACAATACAAACCTCTAAAATTATGAGTGTTTCTCTACTATATTATGCATGTATTACACATAAAAACCTTCCTCTTGAATTATTCTATCTATTAAAAAAAACCGCATTAAAATCCGTTGCGTAGTTTTAAAGATGTAAGCATACTTAGGGACAGACAGCGGGGGAAATGGGTTGCATGATTTCGTTACATAGCAACTCGCATGAAACGAACTTACCCTACCGTGCGTAAAGAAGTTTCACTTCAATATATTATATGTATATATTTTCTGATTTGCATTAGGTACTTATTACTCACATATCAGGGCTTGTAATATATGTTGGTATGTAGTATGTACTTATTAAAACAGGTCGTAAATGCGTTATTAACGGCTTGTGTCCGTTAGAGGTTTGTTTGTAAATATCACAGGCAGAAATCACCTGTCAGGTTGCATTCCTGCCAGTTCTCCGGAACAAAAACTGATTTTCAAGATCGATTCGAAATCCCGGTCAGTCATGATGAAATCGATGCGAACATGCACAACATAAATATTCAATTCAGGTACTCACATAAATTTAGAGGGTGGTCACAACAGTGAATTTAATTGAAGGGTAAGATATCAAAGAGTAAACGTTCAATATCAAAGAAAGAAGAATTAGTTGTATATAGTACCGGAAATGCATTAAATATAGAAATTTCCTAGGAAATGTATACAATTCCGAGGCTATTTAGGAAATGTATAAAATATTGTTTCCAAGGTCCAGGTCCTGATGGCGGAAGGTCAAAAACTGGACCGCTTAAAATTTTTTGAAAGCAAATAAATAAATTACTGAAAAAATATTTTTCTGTAGATAACAAATTATAATTGAACTTTGACTGCCACCCTTATCATTTTTTGGAGGAAGGAATATGTTTTTTCTGGACTATTTTTTTAAGACATTCTAATCCCATCTAAAATTACTTGCCGACCCCTAATTTTAGGTCAAACGGCATAAGCAGTCGTATCTTTTGATTGCGTTGACACAAAAGTTTGATTTTTTCAAAACTCGAAGGGGTTGCAGACCTGGAGTATTTCATATTAATTTAAACATGATACTTCCCCTCGTTTCTGAGAAAAGGGATCTTGACAGACAGACAGACAGGCGGACACATAGATCCACAACGAAGTGATTCTATAAGGATTCCTTTTTTTTTTTAAGGTACGGAACCCTAATGACTTGGTTTAACGTCGACCTCACAATTTCACTTATCACTTACTAGAATAATTTTGGTGGAGGTATTAAAAAATGATGTTATCAATTTGTATGTTTCAAATTTCCTTTTAATAATAGGCAATGAAAGCCCAGCTTGATGGAGGTTGGGCAAAAGCCATCGGCTTATCCAATTTTAATATAAAACAAATTTAAATAGTCCTTGATAATGCTTAGAATACCGCGTTGCAATTTGCAAGTAGAATTGCACACAGGATATTTATGTTCCTATTTTCCTTTCGAGGTACGAAACCCTAAAAAGACAGTTATTTCAATATGTCAAACAGACACTTCAACTTTATTTATATCTATAGATGTAGGTATTAGTTTCTTTCATTGAACATTCATGCAAAAATTCTTTTGACCAACTTTTACCAATATTTTAAACAGAAATGAGGGACCATTATAAAATTAAACTGCCCCGTTTAACTTTTATTACCTTAAGGTGTTTAAAATGGAATCGCTCTGTCTTTGTCGATAGTATTAATATTGCTGACATTGTTAAATGTGCCACCTGCTTACATAAAAGCTTCTAATAAATCAAAGAGATTTTTCTAGTACAAATCGTACATGTATGCATGTAGATAATTTCGTAACACTTTCGACAAAAAAGAAGCTGAATGAGAACGAATCGAAAATCGAATCAAGTCTGGTTTTGTTTTTTGCATGCGTATATCGCATCCATCAGTGACCTACATTTTGCATGTTGCTGAGGTTTACATTGCAGTGACAAGTTTGTTTGTACAATCCTTTAGATTTCTGTCGTTCTTTTGTAGTTTAAATGATAAATGTGACTGCGAATGAATTGTTTATCGGAAAATTAATAATCGAATAATTCAAAACGCAATTAGAATATGGAGCTTCTTGGACGTTAGATAATTCTGATTTTTTTGTCTAAAATTCTCTTTGTAATATTAAATTTGCAATGGAATATAAAAATAATTAAAAATTGTAGATATTACAAATAGAAATTCCTCATCAATAACAAATAATGAACACAACAATTCCAATCATGTCATTAATTATTATTTTAATATTTAACCATTAATAATTCTAACGTTGTCCTTAGTCAGAAGTTAGAATGTTCTTGAATGCCTAAGAATATTCTTAGGTAGAATGTTCAATAGTCTATAGTGAATCGGGAGAATCGAGAACGTTCTGGAATGTTCGATAACAGTTATGTATGAACGGTGAAGGCGGATTCCCTTACTCGATTAGATTTATATCTAATTTATATTCTATATATTTTTGGATCAAAATGTTTTAAATCTGAAAAGCCATTCACTTTAAAGTGAGAATGTACCTACTAGAATATTACTTAATGTTGGTTCTCGGCTAGAATGCTCTCGAATATTTAGGAATGTTCTGAAGTAGAATTTTCTAGAGTGAACTGAACCGGAAGTATCACAAACAATTCAAGAGTAGCAGTTTTATAACAGCACATTTACAAATTTTTGGAAAACCTGTCGTTTAAATGCTAGTAAAATATTAAAATAAAAGACGTCGCTTTTTATTAACTTCAAATCCAGATAAGTTAATAATTTTTTAAAAGGTATTAAAGATGTCAATAACTGAAGGGCGAGGGACAAAAACAGGTCAACTCCTCTACTTATCATTTCTGCACCAAAAGATCGGTCAGGAAGTTCCATAAGCTATACACATGTAACCTAGTAATAAAAATTTGGTAGCTGTTTGGGTCTCTAGAGTTAAATCCGTTAAAACAGTAGGACCTATTTTTGCACCGAGTCCTTCAACTTCTTCCGTTAGATATCTGAATATTGAGAGTGACTAAATATTTGTTTCTTTTATGGACAACCATCAGAATTATTTGCAAAAGTGTCGGAAATGTATGAAAATAATGCTATGCAAACCCCTGTGTCTTTGTAATAACATACTCTTAATGTCTTTAATGTAGTGACCCTTGTGGATGAAGTGATTTGTTAAAGTTACGTCAATACATATATAGAAACGATTCTACTTCCAGAAAAATGCTATTCAAGCCAGTTTATATGAGTGTTAGACCAAAATATCTACCTCCACAAATACAACCTCCAAAGGCACCTGCTCCTCTTCCAGTAGAAGAACAACCGTGCCAAAAGGAAGAAACCCCAAAACCGATCGAACATCTTAAATCTCCATCACCAGTGCGACCCCTTGTCAAATATGTCGACCTTGACCCGGAGCCTTTGGTTGAACCACCACCCTCACCCCCTGAAGAGCCCAAGGAACGTCTACCCATGTTAATTAGTGGATATAAATTTCAAACTGTGATCCCACCGGAAGCGAGCAGGGACGTTCTAACTGGAAAAGTTCCTTACATCTATTTTAATGAAGACGGCATGCAAATTTTCAAACCTAAACATGTTCTTAATGCTCTGAAGCTTCCGAAGAAGGCGAGAAGGAAGTATATGGATTATTCGTGTGTTGGTGGTCATGAAAGAAGTTCCGATTTTCCGATGCGCTACCCCGTAGAGGTGGAATATGATGATGAGGACGAGGATCTAGTACGATCGTGGATAGAACCTTTTCCAGTTACGGAATGTTTTTACAGACTATACCCATTCATTTATTAAATGTAGTTTTTGCTAACAACATTATGGTAACTACGAAAATTCGTCAAAATTTAAAATATCTGCAACTGCCTAAGTATTTAACGTATCTGTATCTTTTTAATTAATTTTATCTTCATTCTATACACTTTTACACCTTTAAGGAACGAAATATATAAAAATAATAGNTCCAGAAACAACAACAAGGAAATGCTGGAACGATATCGTTTTCCGTTAAAGGTATATGATACCAAAAATACCTACACCAGCTATAATTTGTATACTATATAATAAATAAGAAATATTTTAGTTAATTAATGGTGTATCGTAGAAGAGGAAGATATAAAATATTGTACAGTTTTTGATAATATACGATTATCTTCATTAAGTCATAAAAACGTTAATCGTAAACATAATACGTTATATTAATTTCGGGCGTCGAAACAACTCGACGAACTCTATTAATATTGCATTTTCCTCATGTAACTGTTTATTTTATGTCGGTAATTCACCTACTTTCGCTGGCACGAATTCGGTCCGTTCATACCACTCTTCCAGGCAAAATCGTAAAGTAAATGTCATGCACACTGCCGGCTAAAATTAATAATCAAATTCACTGAAGAGCAGTCAAATGGGTAATATTAAAAATGGCTTTATAAATTTTGTAGTTTCTCTGAAATTCGAAGTCAAATTTATTGTTAAATTTCCAGTAATTAATAATTATTATTAATGTATCAAGGAACTTAAACGTTGGTTACAGTAATACAAATAATAAGTAGGCGATGGCTTCTAACAAGTGAAACAATTGAAAATACATATTACAACAAGATTTACGTTATTCTTAAAATATTAAAACCAGTTGGTTATTGTAAAGTTTAATTCCTTGATGTAAACATAATTAGGTGATAATGGTTAACAATTGAAATAAGTGAAAATTCAGTTACGACAATAACACTGCACTCTCATTGGTTGGTTGTTATAAAGTATAATTTTTTGGTACAAAAGTAAATTGGCGTTAGATGCTAACAATTGGAACAATTGAAATGAGCTCTGTTTGCAACAATAACAGTGTAGCCAAATTGGTTGGTTGTTATACAGTTTAATTGTTTAGTGAAATATAGTTTGGTGATGGCTGCCAACAATTGAAACAACTGAAAATTTAGTTGCAACTGAAAAGCAGAAAATAATAAACCTTTCTTTTTTTAACCTTAATAACTAATTTCTTCAACTAATGTAAGTATAACAGAAGTAATTTTAAGTCGGTGCTAAGCATTCAATAAACAAAGATCACTAAATTAATAAAATTAACAACGCAATGGTTATTTGTTTAAATTTAAGGTGATTTAGTGATCTTTGTTTAGCGTTGACTCAAAATAACTTAGGTATACTAACATTAGTTGACGAACTAAATTAATAAAATTAAGGTTTATTGTTTTTTGCTTTTCAGTTTTTTCGGCGGTTTAATTTTTTTGTTAAAAAGTTTTTATTGATCTTCAATATAATTTATGCGTTGTTTTAAACTCGATTTTTATATATGAAAAACATTAAAAAACATTTCATGCATTATCGTTTGGGGAAATTTTTTATTTTTTCTTATAAAGAGATTCCCCTTTATACGAAAAAACCAGAACAGGTACCCTTAGTTAAGAGCTTGATGATCAGTCAGTTAGTCCAGAAACAACAACAAGGAAATGCTGGAACGATATCGTTTTCCGTTAAAGGTATATGATACCAAAAATACCTACACCAGCTATAATTTGTATACTATATAATAAATAAGAAATATTTTAGTTAATTAATGGTGTATCGTAGAAGAGGAAGATATAAAATGTTGTACAGTTTTTGATAATATACGATTATCTTCATTAAGTCATAAAAACGTTAATCGTAAACATAATACGTTATATTAATTTCGGGCGTCGAAACAACTCGACGAACTCTATTAATATTGCATTTTCCTCATGTAACTGTTTATTTTATGTCGGTAATTCACCTACTTTCGCTGGCACGAATTCGGTCCGTTCATACCACTCTTCCAGGCAAAATCGTAAAGTAAATGTCATGCACACTGCCGGCTAAAATTAATAATCAAATTCACTGAAGAGCAGTCAAATGGGTAATATTAAAAATGGCTTTATAAATTTTGTAGTTTCTCTGAAATTCGAAGTCAAATTTATTGTTAAATTTCCAGTAATTAATAATTATTATTAATGTATCAAGGAACTTAAACGTTGGTTACAGTAATACAAATAATAAGTAGGCGATGGCTTCTAACAAGTGAAACAATTGAAAATACATATTACAACAAGATTTACGTTATTCTTAAAATATTAAAACCAGTTGGTTATTGTAAAGTTTAATTCCTTGATGTAAACATAATTAGGTGATAATGGTTAACAATTGAAATAAGTGAAAATTCAGTTACGACAATAACACTGCACTCTCATTGGTTGGTTGTTATAAAGTATAATTTTTTGGTACAAAAGTAAATTGGCGTTAGATGCTAACAATTGGAACAATTGAAATGAGCTCTGTTTGCAACAATAACAGTGTAGCCAAATTGGTTGGTTGTTATACAGTTTAATTGTTTAGTGAAATATAGTTTGGTGATGGCTGCCAACAATTGAAACAACTGAAAATTTAGTTGCAGTAACATTAGTACATTTTAATTGGTTATGGTAGTCATAAAATTAAATTGTTTAGAGTAAATATAAACAGATGTTGGTTGATAATAATTGAAACCATAATTAGCATAACAGCTTACCATAATTTGTTAGTTATTGTAATATTTAATTGTTTGTAGAAATTTACTCTGATTGAATTAAATTTTATAAAATCAGGTACCCTACTCTTTATTATACTTTAGCGTACTTTATTGTTGTTTGTTGTTTGCCTTACCCACTTGAAAATTAAGGCTCATCGGATTCCAATTAAAAATTCCCAAGTTTATAACAAGAAAAACAACCTCGTGAATAATACATACAACGACGGATACCGTGCGTTTTTGTTATTAGCAATAAAAAACATTTGCATAAAAATTGGCCATAATAAAGCTGTTAGAAAATAAGTCCAGACTTCCACCAAAACGGAGATGTTATCTATGGCTATTCCGAGACTCATTATTAAAAAAGAAAGAAAAGAAAGCAGACACTTCGTGTAATAAATTAACGATAAGATAATAAAGCACTTAAAAATATGTTTTCATACGTACGTAAACGCAAATTGAGAATAATTATCGTCGAAGAAACGCAATAAAAATACGAAGTTTTTCAAATTACTTAACAATAAATTATTTTCACCTTTGTATGGTTTTTGGCTAGTCAAAATTAATTAAGGAAAATGTGCAGATTTAAATATGTATAAATTGTCAATGTACTATATTTATTTTTCGTGAAATGAAAATCCGAACCGAGCAGGTATCTTTATTTTTTGTCGAAGAAGCGTTGGATAAAGTGTATTCCACTAAAGGATTATCATCATCATACACCTCCACTCTTTCATATCTTAATCTTCGCATTTCCCTAAAACTAGAACATCCCACATCCTTAACTATTTGTGAACAGTAATCTAATCCAGGACTACCTCTACTCCTCCTAACTCATATTTCTGTCTCTAATATGTCTCTGACTAGACCTTCATGCCTGAGAAGGTGTCCTACCAATCTATCTCACCTATTTCTTATTGACTTCCATAGAGTCCTCTGTTCTCCTATTCTTTCTAATAGTTCTTCATTTCTAACCTTCACTATCCACGGTATCCTGTTTCTTTTCCGCCGCGACCACCGTCCATGATTCGCACCCGTACAGCGCTAAGCTCCAATAATACACTTTTAACAATCTTTTTCGAATTTCTAAATTAACCGTTTGGGAGCATAAAAGTGACTTCTTTTTATTGAAGCCGACTCGACCCTCCGCTATCCTTTGCTTTATATTCCTACTATTCCTTCCGCCCTGACTTATCTAACTTCCTAGATACCTAAAATCAGTTACTTCTTCTAAGTTTTCGTCTCGCACCATTATATTCGCTCTTTCCCTATTTTTTCCTCCCTTGCAAACCAGCATTTTTGTTTTCCTTTTATTTATTTTCATATAATACAATACCAATACGGAAGGAAGATTATATAGAGAAATAAATGGATTCTCATAATAAAAAACTCATTTATTCATTACCAAAACGAAATCTTTTTACCCTGGCCTCATATTAGCCTCCAACAGATAAAATATAAGTAATCATCTTAATTGATATCATATTCGAAAAGAAATTAGTAAAAGGTCAACACATTAAGAAGAAAAGGTAAAGTATCGGCCAAGCATATAACCCGGTCGACCAACCATACCACTGGACCATTGCCATTTGGAAATTAAGGCGCCAGTGCAAAAATCCGTATTTTGACGTTATTTACCTAAATAAAAAAATAAATCCGATTGGACTTTTAACGTAGTGACATTAAAGTAATCAAATTTGACAAAAGAAATGTTGAAAGAATTATTTATGCTTTTAATTTACTCTTCAGCTGTTAACGCAAACTGGCAATGAGTTAAAGCAAAAACCGTGTCTTCCTTTAAATGTGGTTAGGTAAAGACCGTAAGGCGTAATGTAACGCCCTGTATACCAGTGTTACTGATTTTGATACAACATATAATACGCGCAAAGTATATCATTACATTCGATGGTATGATGCAAAAGCAGCGAACAACTTATAGTACTTTACATTTATCACATCACTACATGCGCAAATTATTGCAGATTATATTAATATCAGGCATAGTTCAAACATATCTGCCGTTGGAAGTATTAAAGGAAATACTGGAATATACCGTTACGAATGAATTTTTGCACATTACTCTACCGTGTATTATACCAGCAGTTCAAAAAGCAATTGAATTTTAAGCGACTTATTACAGGTTGCTATGTTGCGTATGTTTGGAGCGCGGTACTATACGGGTGCGAAACATGAACAGTGGACAGAAAAGGTTAGAAGCCTTCGAAATGTGATGTTACAGGCGAATGATGAGGATACCGTTGAAAGAAAAGGTTAGAAATGAAGAGGTATTAGAAAGAATAGGAGAACAGAGGACTCTATGGAAGTCAATAAGAAATAGGCGAGATATGTTAGTAGGACACCTTCTTAGGTATGAAGGTTTAGTCTTAGAGACATATTAGAGGCAGAAACATGAGTTAAGAGGACTAGAGGTAGACCTTGATTAAATTACTGTTCGCAAATAGTTAAGGATGTGGAACGTTCTATTTTTAGGGAAATGCGAAGATTAGCTCAGGATAGGAAGGAGTAGACGTGCGTGTCCAACCAGTCTTAGGACTGACAACCTTGTGATGATGATTACAGGTTGCGATATATATTTATTGAAGAAAAATTATTAGCTTTTTCTTTAATTTTATCTCATCATTTATCATCACGACACTCAGGTACTTATTACAATTGAAGAAAGGATAAATATCACCACATTTTACTTCAAAGAAATTAAACTTAATAGCAATTCCTACAGAATTAGCAATGAATAACTTTTGGGCCTATACCTGGGCTATGAAACAAGTTTCAAGTTCCTGTAGGTTAGTGGGGAAGACTCTAATTACAAGAATTGATGATATGATCAAAGATCGAAACAATTGTCGAGATTGTTGTTTAATAAGCTAGTAAAATAACCGATTGAGCTTTTATTTGGTCAAAATTGACAATAATACGATAATGTTTCATGTGGCGCTTCTGCTTTTTATTTCATCTAATTACAGCAATATCTGATTAACCGTACAGATATCTCTCTTCTGATTTAACATAATAGGATGTTTTGCACCAAAGGAAGAAAGTGCAGCACCCCTTGTCGGGACCCAAGCCGAAGGAGGATATGAAATGAGACCCCTACCTATACAAATTCTTTCGATCCCAACGATCCTTATTTCACGAAATGTGTAGTGTCATATGACCTCCTAGATAAGAAACAGCAGTTAGTGTTTATTAATAAATTATTTTAAAATCCTCCGTATAGAAATTGATACTAGAACCGAAAACTTTTAATAAAGAGTAAAAGCGGGTTTGTAGCAAAGGGAATGTTGCGCTTTCGTCCGGGAATAATCTCGTCCTTCCGACTGGAGTGACAATTTCCACGTGGACTATGGTAAAATCCTTTCCTAATAAGGAATGAATTCGATTTTGTAGTACAGTGAATGTTGTCGTAAAAAAAGTTATTGAGAATTTTTTCTCTTCTAAAACTGGCGTTTCAAATTAGCTCCCATTTAGCTTAACGTCCCCTGTAATTATGAATGTATAACGAGAACGACTTTGATATTTTGTTTCTTTAGGACCCACGCCACTGAGTTAGCAATAACGCCAGGTGGACGCCCGTCAAAGGGGGGATAATCGGACAGGTGAGAGCCGGTCTCACAGTCTTCGAGTTGAACATCGTCCTCTACCACGCGATCAAGAAGATCGTCTTGTGTTGTTCGTATTTGTTTCAACTTCTTGTTCTTACAATTGGAAATTATATTCGTTAATATTAGTACTAACTACACAGTGAATAAGTTTTACGTTCAACGGCTGCGTTTTTTCTTATTATTCACCGATAACGAAGACGACGACCTTTGTGATAAGGGTGGAAATTTTTGTGTGTTAACATCGCTTGTTGTACATACGTACCTATAACTAAGTAACTGTTGTAGACTGTTAACGAGTGACCGACCCCGAGTGGCCGTATGTGAAGAGCCAGCTAATTCAGTTTGAGTATACGAGTAACAATGTAAGGGATCATGAATATAAGTATTTATACTGTATTTAAAGATGAATATCGCATATATTTTCTTTTGTTAAGAAATCATTAGTTACGACGAATTAATTATTAAAAAAAAAATACAAAAAAAGAATTAAAAGAGTCTGTATCGTATCGTAAGACATACCTATTAGTGGATACTCTACCACCCATTAAATATTCCAACAAAAAGAGTAGTAGATACACAATACCTAAACAGGCATATAGTTAGCTATTCACATCAGTAAGACTACAATATGAAAGTTTGCATAAATTACTAATGGCTGCCAAAGACGCGTGTGAATTACCTTTTTTTCTATTTATTATCGGTATTCAATGGGAAGTTATTGAAAGGAATGGTGTTGTTTGTTAACTCTTTAAGATTTAAGAAATTTAATGAGCAACTTAATAACGCGTTTTGCGGGAAAGTGTGAAATCGAAGCCGTCCTTGATCTTCAAGTCAACTAATTCAACCATGCATGCAATGAGCTGACTGGTGTACTTCGTTGAAATTGCTAATAATTATACTCAAGTTTTAATGAGGAATCGGTTATTTAAAAAATACACTTTATATTGATTTTGATTGCTTTTTATAAGTCATAAAAATTGTTCGAAATTATACATTTAAAAGTACCAGAGATGTCATTTATTTGAAAAACTTGCTTTTAAAATGCAAATACAAAATAAAAAATACCAATTTTTTTCTTTTCAAACGTATNATTTGAAATACTTGCATTTAAAATGCAAATACAAAATAAAAAATACCTACTTTTAATTTGCATTAAATACTTTTTGGAGAAAAGCATTTTGTATTTTATTTAAAATACATTTCCGAACGTATTTTCTATTTGTAAAATGCAAAATACATTTTTGGCGTTAAAAGTTTTGCTAGTATCACCGATCAAACATTAAATAAAATGAAAGAAAGTTGCTCACATTGGCTATTGGAGATATTAGAACCTTCAAAAGAGGATAAAGAGACATTCCATGAATGCCTTGTAGTTCTTTAAATGAGAGAGCCCAAAAAATTCTAAATTCCTTGAAAATGGATAATATAAAATATTGGATCGGCATTGTTTTCCGGGTTCAATGTCATGGTCCATGGAATTTTGAAGTTCCAAATTGATATCAACACCTGCCAAATCACCTTTAGCAGGGAATTACGAAATTCTTTGTATTACGACAAAACAAAATTCTAAGAAAACGATTCGAGAAGCTTCACTTATTAGATGAACCCAAAGTTAAAGAAACTATGGATTCCATTTCTTTCTCTTATTACATTTTTTTACCATTACCGTTTTTCAAAATAACTGTCTTAAAAATCTGGAACTTCGTGATTAGATTCATTGTAATGTAGCCTATAACTATTTTATTTGAACAAATAATAGAAAACTTGGCCTATAAAAATTTGAGCCATGTGGCAAGACCTTTGCTCTGAACATTATCGGGGTTATAAAAATTTAGGAAAAACCATCTGATTTTCACGCAATTTGTAAATGTTACCACAATGAAATGGCCTACCATTTTAATGGGCAGTTTTTCAGGAACTATGCCTTAATCATGACAATTTGACGATAACCCATTTAGTCATAAAGCACCACTATATGTGGTCTGTTTCCCGATAAAATAATAAAATGGTCTACAAAAATATTGGGCCAAATTGTAGGTAATTCTAGTAAACAATGTATAGTAGAATTTATTACCAATCGTGATATTTGTTAATATTTTGCAAAAAAAACGATTCTTAGCAATTTTACAGCAAATATGTACTTACTGAGTAACATTTTCAATACATCAACAATTGCTATTGTATTTTTTACAACGTAAGTAAGAAGTGAATAAAGTGTTGATAACGATTTAGTTGAAAATATCGAATTTCTTTAATAACAACAATTCCGAATAAAAATAACCTAAAATATATGCTCCCATTTAGATTAGTTATAGTGGGTTTTCATATGATTTTCCTGTTTGACATTAATCTACAATAATAATAATACCTAACTGTTTTGAAGAATAACTTTATAGTGGAGCATCTTATTGACACTTAAATTTTTTGGAATTATTGTTTATTCCAGTAAGTTCGTTAAATAACGTAGTATTTATGTATAAACCAATTATAAAATTGGTTTTCTTTGATTATCGTATATTTATTGTAATTAATTTTTATTCTCCTGTACTATCTGATATATTGTTACTTAGTTTAGTTGTTTTTGCGGTTAGAAATTACACAGTCATGTAAAAAATTATGGTATACATTTCATATGATAGTATTCACACTATAATTAAGTCAGTTAAGCGCGGTATTTATCTCCAGTGACATTTTGATCTGACCATGACTGAACCGTGACTTCACCGATAGTATAATACCTACTTCTAGGTGTTATGGAAGTCAGTAAGAAATAGACAAGATAGGTTGGCAGGGCATGTTCTTGGACATGAAGAACTGTGGTTAGTGACATATGTATTAGAAGCAGAAACAGGAGTTGAGAGGAGCTAGGAAGAAAGAAAGAAGTGGATGGATACCACAACGTAGGATGTAAAATGTGTGCACAAAAAGTAGCACAGTTAACTAGCCGTCGGTGATTAAGAGCAGTTACCGCGTTATCTTATCGGCTTTCGACAAAACACACGTACCTATTCGTGACCTTCGCAAACAGCTGATACATAGACAAGTCAATTGTAGGCAATGATTAGTAATAATCTGCACTCGTCGGCGATCGATTGGCAAAGTATTAGCACAAAATACAAAAATAAGTTAAATGTGAAAATATGAATGCATTCGGATGCAGAATATGCGGACATGGTGCTCACATATCACAATGCCCTCATTTTTATATATGTTATTACTGAGTGGTGCTCATTCTACTTTTTTATTCTTTTTTCATATACCTTCTTTTCCCTTAATTTTTCCGGAATGTTAATAAAACACAGTGTATACGAAGACACCAACTTTCGATTCACGTTAACCTATAAAAGGCTATTCTAAATTCACAACCAGTAGATACAATAGATAAAGCAATTTCACCTCTCTCTCTTTTCTTGTGGTCTCAACGTGCGCCTCCGGAATAGTTAACGCGATGGTCAATGATGACCTTCATTCTGAATCTAACTCATAATATTAAGAAACATCAACAGAATTATAAATTGTTGCATTTTTCTTGGATTATACTTTGTTTTATTTTTATTACCTTCGGTCTCAAGGATAATTCAATTATTTATTTTTTATTGCTTAGAAAGGAGGACGTAGGTATCTCTACTCGTTTAATGCCCAGTAGGCATTTGCCATAAATTATGTCTCAAGAGTGAGAGTACAATGATCCTAAACGTTAAAGTAATTCTTTTTTTTATATACTGATATGCGGGTATCTGTAATACATGCTTACATTATTTACTATCATGAGTTTCACATTTTTCTCAAATTTGTACGGTGAAATCTCTTCTATCAGTAAAAATTTGAAAGTTGTAGCTCAATTAGAAGTAGTTTTGATAATTAGTGACATTTATGACCCACGGGAAATATGAAATACTATTTTTTATTCGCGCGTCAAAGATAATCGAAAATACAACAATTTGATGAATTTGTTCTTAAATCTTCACCAGGATCCACAGGATAAAACTAATATTTCTTATTTTTTAGGTTAAGCACACATTTTGCCTAGAATGACAGTAAATTCTGTCCTTTATCGAGAGGAACTGAAATTTTTTTATCCTTCGAGAACAGTATTTTATTCTAGCAAAGATATTCTATGTCCTATCCTGTACTTCTGACAATGTGTCTACAAAATTTTATGATGATCGGTTGAGTAGTTAAGATGTGAAATGGTAATAAACGCACTCACATTCGCATTTATATTATTAGTTAGGAAGTTAGGAATGCATTGGGGAGTTGAAAGCTCAATTTTTTTCACAGAATATAGGACCATAAACCTATGTTAGATATTACCTACAATTATATCCGTTCCTAAGAAAACGCGTCTTGATGGATAGGTACTGGTAATAAAGGGATAAGTGATGCTTCTTCTTCGTTTTGAGGTAGGGAACTGACGAAGCTCCGTATCACGTTTCTACAATGGTAATGTAGAAAATCGTTCATCAGAACCAAATTATAACTTTAGTTTTTATCTCATCTACTCTTAAGTTATTCAGAATTTTAGTTTTTTTTTTCAAATATTCACCTAATTTCTTTAAAAAAGATCGTAGATACTAAATCTGTTTTGGATCCTGGCCAATGATAATACATTTACAGTAGGTTGAACCTAGCCATATATACCTAATAGATTCTTCATCATCATCATAAGGTCGTCAGTCCTAAGACTGGTTGGACACGCACCTCCACTCCTTCCTATCCTACGCCAATCTTCGCATTTCCCTAAAGCTACAGCAACCCATTTCTTTAACTATTTGCGAACAGTAATCTAATCTAGGTCTACCTCTACCCATCCTAACCTCCTTTTCTGCCTCTATTATGCTTCTGCATGCCTGAGAAGGTGTCCTACCAACCTATCTCGCCTATTTCTTATTGACTTCCAAAGAGTCCTCTGTTCTCTTACTATTTCTAATACCTCTTCATTTCTACTCTGCTCTATCCACGGTATCCCCATCATTCGCCTGTAACTCCACATTTCGAACGCTTCTAGCCTTTTCTTTTCCGCCGCGCCCACTGTTCATGTTTCGCACCCGTACAGCCCTGTGCTCCAAACACACCTTTAACAATCTTTTTCGAATTTCTAAATTAGAGCATAAAAGTGACTTCTTTTTATTAAAGCCGACTCGACCCTCCGCTATCCTTCGCTTTATATTCCTACTACTCCTTCCGNGATTTTTTTATTTATATTAAAACCACTTTCAGTGCTTCAAAATTAAAATACAATAAAGGCTCAGAATTGTTAAAATATTCAAGTCAGATAAGTCAGGACGGAAGAAGTAGTAGAGATATAAAGCAGATGATAGCGCAGCGTCGAGTCGCCTTCAATAATAAGAAGTCACTTCTA